ACAATTAAGTGTGATATATATATATATAATTATATTAGAGGGTCTAGAGTGTAAATGTATCTCTTATATATATCCCTGATTGTAATCGATATATACATACATAATTACCAAGTTTATCTCTGAGCATATTGATTAGATGACATATGATCATCCTGATATTATTTCCTCTAAATGCTACCTTGAAACTAGAATAGAGAAAGTAAGGATAAAAGAAAGAAATCACAGAAACTGGAAATGGGATCTTTTTTGCACCCATTTACTGGACCAGATGTGGTTTGTTAAAGGTTTATCACAGTGTTGTGTTGGATTTTGGAGAAGTTCAAATGAGAAAAACGAAATGTGGACAACGTTTGGCCCTTCTACTGACATGCCGCTCATAGATTGATTTCGTACTTCATTCTATCTGATGCTAGAATGCCTTTGTTTCCCCAGCAACTCTGAAATTCATTAAGTTGCTTTGTACTTTCTGTAAATCACTTTATCGTTTTTGTTTATCACTACACACAGATGTTCTATTCCCTCAGGTAAAAAGGGTGGTCCCAGATCGCAAACGATGTCAAACTGATAAATGCTGGGAAAATTTTGGAAAACAGCAAGACTGTTGGCCAGTGCAGAACACCGTTTGGGGAGCTACCAAAAGGAGTAATTACTACGCATGCCGCTGTACAGGTGTCTTTAACCAAGGCAAAAACAGGTAGTTACCTAGTCTTTCTTTCTGACGAATGGTATTCGTGATAGTTTCTTCTTATATGTTTTTTCTTTTTTTTTTAAGAAGCTTTTAGAAAACACTGATAACTTGGTTTCTTTGTCTCACGTGGGACTCTTTAAATGGAATAATGGCTACATAAAATATTAGAAGTGTATGTCATGGACCAAGTTGAATTTGATCTCACATCCGTACCAAATAAAGGGGAGTTCTCTATCCAGGATGGTGAGAAACTCTACCTTTTTTAGACCTTCCTGATCTATTCAATATTTAAGCAACAGATGATAACTGCAACGAACTGTGTAAGCACTATGAATAAAGAAAATGAGTAGTTAAACATGTAAAACAATATATCCATGTTCATTTAGAAAGTAACCTGTTTGAGTTACAAAAGTCAATCAATAGAAGTAGCATTATCTTCGAAAGTATTTATAGATTATTAATGTATTTTTTGGTTCCCGTGCTACCTACCTTTTATGAGCAAATAAGTTGCTAATATTTACAATGAAGTGTTCCTGTCTGCAATCATAGTCATTCTTTTGATAATTCTGATGCAACCACAGTTTCTTCTTTTATCAAATGGTAGAACCAAAGTGATTATTTCCTTCATCCAAATAAAATTAAATTTGACATCTGGACCTAATGTATTGTTTTCACAATTGAGTTTTGATCTAGAAATGTGAACATTTGCAAATTGTCTTTCTATGGAATAAGAATCAGACAATATGCAGCCTGCCTCTTCATTTTTTGGGCCTTTTCTTGGTAAAGGGGAGCCTAGCTCATACTTGTACATTAAACCTTTAATTTTATTCTTATGTACTGCTTAATCTACTTTTTTTGTAGGCTTAAGCTGTTATAGCTAGTTTAACCATGATGCCACCACATATAATATATATTCTGTGAACACTTGTAGTAGCCCCCGAGAAAAGAAGGGGAGAATGATGTATGGCTATAGAGACCCCTGTTGAAAGCCTGAGTGCGAATTTTTGCTTATTTGTTAAGCTTGTGATGTCTTTAGTAACTACAGTAGTTATCTTGCCTCTTCCAGCGAGCAATTTGAGTCGATTTATTTGACAATTTTTAATGCTTATCAATGAAAACTGTGGTTTGGACTATCTATCTTGATTCCTTACATTCTCAGATTATATCTTTTATCTTAAAGTTTTCTGATAGACGATGCATACATGATATATTTGGGATTTTATGCATCAATGTGATGCATTATTGTTGTAAAATGACATATCTTTGATTTTTGTATCTTCTGAAAGATGTTGCTTTCTATCACCTGAACAGAAAAGAACGACGAGACTCCAAAGAAAAACATCTGTGCACGTACCATTTTGTAAGAGAGTTTGACTATTTTTACTCAGATTAACCTGACGGGCATCGGAATTCCAGTTTGGGGCTCGAAAACCAGGTAGTCTGGAGAAATTAATCTGTAAGCAGTGCTATACCACATTGTTACAAGTTCTTGCTGGGGGAGAAAAATCTGGCGTAAAAACTACATCGCAGTATTATGTTGTGTATGTGTGCTTTATATATAATCTGTTCCCTTTATACTGCACATTTGTAGCTTCAGCTTCAATGAACACAGGTCTTCATGCACTTCTTCATGCTACCATGTTCAACATCATTATTAGTTGGAACTTAACAAGATCAAGATCCAACAATTAGAATCTCAAAAGCATCTTAGGTTTCAAGATAATAATTTGGGACAAATTCCATTTCCTTTAGAGAGGATAACATTGAAAAAAAAGTGAATTACTATAGGAAGGGAAGGAGGTATTGAAATTTTAGTAGTGAGTAGAAGTTGAAAGAAGTACATGAGCTTGAATGAATTACAAGCTGCTATTTCCCACAGATTGCAAGATCTTTCTTGGATGGTCTAAAACTTAAGGCATAAAGGCTGTAGATGCAGAGATTGGCTTGCTTGGATTTAACAGAGAACTGATTGGAAGTGGTTATGGAAGCAGGTATGTTACATTCGGGAGACGTGCTTCTGATCAAGCTAGCTCTGCAGGTGTTGAGAACTGATGCTTCTCTGGCACAGTTAATCCCATCAACAGAAGGTATATCCATCTTGTAGACTCCATATCTGTTGGTAGTCCTGTTGACTGTAAAGGATATCTGCTCTGCAGTTCTTGGAGAAGCTGCATTAAACCTGCAATCTATCCTTACCTCTGCCCCTGCACATGACACCACCACTAGTTTAAAACCACAAGAAGAAGATGTTAATAAGGGAAAGGAAAAGAAAGAGGGTTGAAACCTGGCAAGAAGTAGCTATGGTGAGAAAAAGAGTTGTTGGAACAGGCATCACAGTAGACAACACCGACAACCGAGATATGGGGAATGGAGGGTTTTGAAGCATCAACTTGCAAAGATATCCAGACAGTGAGAAGCAATGAAAAGACAAAGAAGATGATGAGTGATTCCATGCTGCTATTTTTCCTTTCCTTACACCTAGCAAATGCAAACTGCAAATCTGTGGTGGTATAATGGGGTGAATGATGATGGTTGTGAAGACATTAATGAGATATGGATAGATTGGAGATGAGAAAACAAATTCACGTGAATGTCTTTTGGCTGGATGTGCATCACTACTACCAAGTGAGAGAAAGAGAAAGAGGTTTGTTGCTTGTTTCTCTTGACAAAAAGGTTCTCCTTGCTTTCTGTCACTCGTAAATATTTTAATCACTTCCTTATTCCTTTCTAATACCCTACCCATATTAACATGTTTGTTAGCAGCTTAATGGAACTCACAACTTATTTGGTTGGTTATACATGACTGTTTGGTGGTGGCTTAATGACATAGAAAGTGGCTTATTTAGTAAGCTTCTAGGAGGAGCTTTATGCATAAAGCCTAATTTTTTTTCCAAATTTGTCGGTCATTTCCAATTAAAAAACATACTCATCCCATCTTATGTACAAACCCTACCAAACAAAAACCTTCTCATTATAGATAGATTAATCTAAACATACAACTTTATTCGTACATAACTTGAGGGTTGTTTATTTATAGCTTAATTGTTTCTTTATGGCTCGGTAAATGGCTATATGGAATAAGCCAGAGCCTCTCATTTGTCCCTATTAAGCCACCTCAAACAAACTAATGCCATAAATGCATACAAAATGATACAAACCTCTCTTTTTGCCTCCCACAAACCCATCGATCTCTCGTCCTTCAGTCATACATACTTATCCACATAGTCAACTTAACCCATACAAGTTGATGGTAAACAACCCCTAAATGGAAAACCAATCAAACAACTATTTGCAGGTCAAATTAGCATATGCCCTCACCCACAATTTTCACCCAATGGGTTGTAAATTTTGTTGTCATAAAAGCGTTAAATAATCTAGTTTTGCATTAAATTGTAATCTTTGGACATACTAATTGGGTCTAATCTTAAATTCAAAAGCATGATGTCAAACATATCATAGTTCTTGCCGCTAACAAGAAGCCAACATGTCCCTTTTTTAGAATAAGGAAGGCATGGGGAAGAGAATCTTGATTCGCAAAAGACAACTGTACCCGTCCTACTCCAATATTATTTCAGACTGAAATTAACAAATTCCAAATCTGTTAAACAAACAAACAGCAGCATGTCTGTGTCATACTACAGTTTAAAATGAAGATAAAACCAAGAACATTGGAGGCCATCATCATGCTTTTATCTTCACCCGTGACAACTTTCATATACTCAGAAACAAAAGTTGAAATGCATAGATAATAGTTTTACCTTATGGAGCAACTAGAAGCATGCTAAATTATTTGGGAAGAGTATTTGAGACTACATGATTCTGCTGAAGACCCTCAATTGCTTGAATAAACTCCAAAATTGGCTGCGGTTTTGGTGAAGATGTAAACCATGACAAAAGCTCAGCATGAAGCTCATTCAACATCGAAGGCCACATTTCCCCAACCCTCTTCATGTGTTCAATAGCAACAACAACCTCTCCAGCATCAACAAGACATTTTAGCAACATCATGTTAGACTCTGAATGTCCTATAGTAGTTGTATAATCATGGACCAAGTTTGAAGCAGCCATATATTGACCTGCAAATACGATCAATTCAGATCTTCGCACCGTTTACATTATGTGCTCAATGCTAAGCTCATGAATTCAAAATATACCTTCTCTAACGAGATAGAGTATGAATTCTCTCAAGATATCCTTCGCAATCACTGCATCTTGTTCAAAAGACTTCTTGAAAACCTCAAAAGCAGTTTCCAGTTGATTTTCTTGACAAAGGCCTTCAAGTAGGAAACCGTATGTTGTTGCATCAGGTTGCAGCCCTCTCTCCAACATATGGCAGAAAAGCCTGTGAGCCTCTTTCACCTGACCTATTTTAGACAACTTCGAGATTAATATGTTGTAAGTCTTCAAATTGGCTTCACACCCATTTGCAAACATCTCATCCCATAACCGTTTAGCAGGTCGGACTAGATCTTCTCTACAACAAGCCTCCATAACAAGATTATAAGATGAAATATCTGGACCCACCCCTTCCTTCTTCATCTCCTGAAGAACCTGGTAAGCTTCTTTCACTTTCCCTGCCTTGCAAAAGGATGAAACCATTACATGGTATCTCTCAATATCTACAAAATACTGGTTCCAAGATAGAATCTTGTAAACTTGTACCAATTCATCATGTTTTTCATGCCTACACAAGTTTCTACTCAGATTGGTGAACGTAAGAAGAGTGGGCAATCTCTCTCTCGAAACCAAGAATTTAAAGAACATCAATGCAGAACAAGGATCCTCCGTGGATACCGATCCAATCAGTGCATTGAGAACATCATCCTCAATTGGGAAATTCCCATTTACAATAACTTCACCCAAATCTTTAGCTTCACAAATTAGTCTCTCTGAAATCAACTGAAATATGAAATCTCTATAATCACTAGCTCTTGGTGCCACCCCAAGCTTTCTCTTCATCTTCAAGACTTTCTCCACATCAACTACATTTCCAGTAGCTCTTAGAGCTTCTGCAACAATTCTATATGCCATAAAATCAGGTTTACAATCTCTTTTCCTCAACACATCCAACATATACATAGCCTCGAATACCCTACTCGCAGAACACAAGCCGTGAACAACCAAAAGGGCAACAATCGAGCCGTTGACACCCGAATCTTGCCGTCTAACATCATCCAACAAGCAGAGAGTTTTATCTAATTCAGCAGTTATGCAAAATCTCCATATAAACACACCGAAACCAAGGGTACTTACACGAACACCTCTAGTTGTCATTTCATCGAACACTTGTTGAGCATAACCCATATTCCGAGCAGAAGAAAGAGCCGCAACTAGAGAATTACAAGTATGATCACCAATATCGGGAATCAAGCATCTTACATGATTGAATACCGAAAAGGCATTGAGGGCCTTTTTTCCGGCGACATTTGATGCAATGAGAGATCGGTAGAGGGAAGGATGAAGTTGAATATTGAGGGTTTTGACCTGTTTCATAAGTGTATCAAGCGCGGTGAATTGGCGGGAGATGGAGAGAGATTTGAGTATGGAGTGGTAGGAGATAGAAGTGTGAGTAAAACCTGGTTGCTGAGAGGCCCAGTTGAAGAAGCCAAGTGCGAGGGAAGGGTGATGGATAAGGAAAGGATCGATGACACGGGAAACGAGTGATGGGTTGAGGGAGTGGCGGCAACCGATTCCATGGAGGCTTTGTTCGAGTAGCGAAGTCCATGTAGATTGATCGGAGGCGGTGATCAATGCTCTGCTTATCCGATTCGCCAATTCGCTTGTGGACGGTTTCATATACATGTGTGCATAAGCATAACAAACGGTGTTCCTTCTCCTTTCAACCACCTGCTAGCTAAGCTACGCTACGTGTATTGTTCTTGATTTTAAAGAAAATGATTTACTTGATGCTAAAGTTAAAACACAAAAATGTATTTAATTAAATCAATGATATTTTTAATTAAAAAAACATGTAGATTGGCTTATTGGGATGGGACTGTTTCCATTTGTCAAAAGGCTAATATAACAAAACCTCTTATCTATTTACAAGCAACCATCTTATAGCCTTATTATATATAGGGGCTGCCTGCTGATAGTAAACAGCATACCTTCTTCACATAAACTAAGAAATTGTAAAATCTGCATCATATTCATGTTTTATGTACATACCGAAAAAGAAAAGAAGATGACAACCAACTTTACCATTTTATTTACACAACCTATAACTGTCTCTTTACAGTCTCCTCTCCAATCCTTCATCCCACATCCCAATTCTAAAATGTACACTCTTTCCACTTTCTTTAACCATATATATATATATATATATATGCAGATGATGCTCAGGAGTAGGATCCAACAATTTTCAATGTCTGGAATTTGAACAAGTTTCCAAACAGAAAGCTCATTCTTGTTTCTTCAGCTGGCGGCTTTGCTAATTCACTACACTTCCATCTAACATCCAGCGTTGTGTGTTGCCCCATTTCTCTTCGGATCGAATCTATAGTCTTCGGGTCCACAGGGCCATTACCCGTCATGTCCGTCACATAAAACTTGTCCTTCGCTTTTCCACCTTCAGTTGTAATCTCTGCTCTTTTTATACATAAACTATTTTCCCTAAAAATCCTGGTTATATCAGAAAGAAGTCCAACACGGTCTTCTGTGCACAATTCTAGCTCTACTGCCTACACCACAACCACATCAATCCAATCTTAGAACCGCCTTTCAAATGGATATCATAAAAACTAACCAAGTGCATATACCTCTTCAGATGTCCTCCTCTCAATTGCAGCTTCCAGACATTGCATAACACGCTCTCGCTCTGCCTCTGAGCTTAATGCAGTCCCATCAACATGTCGAATGTAATATTCCTACATCCATGAAAAAAATATAAACAAACCTCAACTTTCAAAAACTAGGGCGAGATGTCAAGTGCAAAGAATGGTTGGTTATTCTTTCTTTTTCCGTTATGTTGATCAGAGTAAGGGGGCATGTTTTAGCAGCTTAATGGGACTCCCAGCTTATTTTACATGACTGTTTGGTAGTGGCACAATGATATAGAAAGTGGCTTATTCAGTAAGCTTATAGGGGCGAGTTTTATGCAGAAAGTCAAGCTTTTCCCAAACCTGTCACTCCCGATTAAAAAACAAGCTCTTTCCATGTATGAATAAACCCTCCCAAACAAAAACATTTACAACCTATACAAACAGACAGATTCATCCACAAGACAACTTTATCCATACATGACTTGATGGAAACCAACCAGACAGCCCATAAGATGTTCTTGGAACAGATATTTTGTGAACCAAATCAACTTAAAACCATGATGGAACAGCTTTGAGCTTACAAGTAGCTCACAAATCTAATTTTCTATCCATGTAGGACGGGGTTGTCACATAAGCTCTTTGGCTCAACTTCTTAACCCATGGATATAGCAAAACAAACCCAACATCTTAATAATAATAAGAAGAAGAAACTACAGTACCTGATAAGCTTCCATCTCCCCTGTGTGGACCACTCCATGGAACACTACATATTGCATGTCAGTTAGCGTGCAGATAATATCAAACAACAGCTTTGGCCGATCCCTACACCGCATAGTAATAACCGTGTAACCCTTCTCAGCACAATCCAAAACAGTAACCTGTGGCCTTGATCCATCTTCCTTTTCTTCTTCTGCTTCTTCTTCTTCTTCTTCTGACTTTTCGTAGTCCCGCTCAGCAAACATGATTTGATGCAATCTTCTCTGTCTGTGGGTGAAACCAGGTGTCATTTTTGCAGCCTTCAAGTCATTGTTTCCCTTAAGAACATTAGAAAGCAGTTTTTGTATAGTCGAGAGCCTCTTTGGATCTTCCACTGCATATCTGGTCTTATCATCTGTGACATGGACAACGGCCGCAGCTCGAGCATTGTGGGTCCATATTTCAGCATTGACCACGTTACATCCAAGATGCGTCAGAACTGCAGACACTTCAGATAATAAACCAGGTCTATCTGTTCCAGCTAGTTCGATTGCTGTGTAATCTTCAGAAGGCTTCAATCCAACTGAACCATTCAGTGATGGAACATAAAATGCATCATTTTCAAGCACCTGCCATAATAACATCATATTACGTAAATGGGAAACAAACCAAGGAAGCAGGATAGGGGCAAATTGGTATATCGTCTTTCTAAACTTAGAAAACAGAATTTCAAAATACTTGGTAAAAAAAAAAAAAGGGTTACCTTTGTTATATAATGGATCATCCCTTCATCTCTAATTTTGATTCCATCTTGGCAAATGACATTAAACACTGAGAAGATAAAAAAAAAAAAAAAATTGGATCAGGTACTGTAGTGAGAGCAGGAAGCATATGGCAGAAAGATATTGAGATTGAGCAAGAGACCATCCATGAACCAGCCTCCATCGGATGAGATATAGGCTTTTTTGATGATGAGGTTTAAATCGGCAAGAAGTTGAACGACTTCCAGTAGAATACCATGCTTGTTCACACTTTCAACCTAACAGAAGAAGACAAAAGGATGGAGTTGTATAAAGATGATGTGGATGGAGTTGGCTGAAAATGGGTGAAAGGATATATACCTGGATAACCGTTGCATCTGGGGAAGAGCTGTTGTCGATTTTAACTCTGCAACAAGAATAGATGAGGTTAAGATTAGAAGAAGGAGATGATGGAGCTTTGTGGATTGCAAATAAACCCTAGAAGAGATGAGAGATGAGAGATGAGAGAATCAGGAATAGGAATAGGAATAGGGTGTGTGTTACCTTGGTGGATTCATCCTCCTGATAAGTTTTGCATATTCATCTTCCATATGCCTAGAAAATTGGAATTGAGGATGAAAATGGAGAAGAAAAGGCAAGTGAGGGCGGTTATCAACAGAAATTTTAGGATTAGAGGCCGTTTCCTGTTGACTTTACAAATTAATTATTATTATTATTATTATTATTATTATTATTATTATTATTAATTTACGACAAAACAAAGGTCTACAAAAACCAAAACCAAGGTTGTTGACTTCCCAAAAACAAAAATCAAATGAATAAAAAAAAAATATGAATTTTAGTTTGTGAGTTACAATGTTAAGTTAAATCTAAAGTTATATATATATATATATGATGTTATTGTCTATTTTTTATCAATCATACAATCATGTACGAATAAGTTGATGTTGCTTTTATATATGTTTAAAAAAAGAAAAAAAAAAAAAAAAATTCTCCGCTTATCAGCAACGCCACCCACCCATTCACTGTGATGTGAGTTGTGACAAACATTTCTTTCCAACACAAAATCAAACTACAAGAAACAAACATAACCATTCAAGGATGAAAACAAGTCTCAATTTGCTGGAATTATGAAACTGAAATCATATTTACAGATATATATTTTGCCTTCTCAAGAACTCGTTGAAGGCCCGAAATACATGCAGATTGGCGGATCCACCCTCAGAATCGATAGTATCGCTGACGGGATCGTCCATATCCCATCTCCACATATTAAACCCGAAGCCACTGCTCCTGCATAATCTTCTGCATCCTTCTTATTCACTCGCTCCCACACAAACAGGATCACCGTCCCAACAAACATATCGATCGCAAAATAAGCTCCAATATAGAACGGCACTGCCATTGCCATCGGGATCGGAATGAACCCAGCCACCTTCCCAGGACACCAATCCCTTAGCAGGTTTAAACCCAAGGCCACCAAAAAGAACACACAGCACAAAGCCAGGCAATGCTTTGGGAGCTCCGAGAACCCCTCCACTCCAAGAATCGCCATTTCCCGATATATCACCGCATACGGAGCTTTATAAGGACTATCCGGTGTCCCAATCTCAAACGCACACCAAAACATCCAAAATGTAAGTGGTGCGATGACGCATCCCATGGCCGTTCCCACTAGTTGGCTCACAAACATGGACTTCGCTGACGATAACGTCAAGTAACCCGTCTTGAAATCTTGCATCAAATCAGCAGCGGTTGAGACGATAGACATCATCACCCCACATGCTGCCAACCCAGCCAAGACACCTCCATTGCTTCCAACCAACGATGCAATGATGAAGAGACCGATTTTTCCATATGTTGACGCCAGGCTCCAGTCGGTCAGACCAGTTCCGTACGAGTTGCAGAAAGCAAGGGCAGGGGCAATAATGTAAGAGCACAGAACCAGGTACCATTTCAGCGGTGGAAAAATAAGTGGCATCGTAGCCATGGATATGCCAACCAGGACCACATACCCAGACGCTGCAAACCACGTCGGTATACTGTCTTTTAAGAAAACAGCATCTCTTTTCTGGTCCTCAACTTGTGATTTCGATGTCAATTTGGATGTCTCAGAATCTGCACAAGTTGGAGTCAAAGAACATATGAACCAAACAAAACGTACCCATAATATCTGATTCGGAGGTAAGATCTAGGGGTAGGATGTATGGAAAACTTTCCTCTACCCCAAGAGGTAAAAAGACCGTTTTCGTGAAAACCCCCACTAGCAAAAAGTTGTGGAGAGTCATGCGCGAAACATAAAGTTTGTCAAGATTTTAAAAAGAAACAGAAGAGCATGAGACGATCGTAACTTCTTAAGATATATTTGATGTTATGCATGCCAATGAAGTTCAATCTCACCTACGATCTCTTTCATTACAGGGAGATCTTGCTGTTTGGTGCTGTTGTTCCACACTGCCTTAACGGAGATGGCTATTATCTTTATCAGATTGTAAAGACCATCTCCAAGAATAAGGGCAATCGCTATAAATACCTGCAAAAGCAACAAGGTTGAAATATCTTGCTGTTTGATGCTTTTACAACACACCTAATGGTGGAAAAGAAGGAGTAAAAAGCAAAATTATGCATGTACCTTGTACCCATAAAGACCTTTGAAGTCATTGCTGCCAAGATCAGCTGGATACCAATCCCCTGCTCGTGTATTAATGAAGGGCCAAAGAACTCCCCATGATATAATAGCTCCAAAAAGAACCGAGCAGTTGACTATGTGAGGGCAAATAAGACCACATCCAACATAAGTAGGACTGAAGTCGAAGTAAAATCTGCATATAGGAGTAAAACAAACGTTTCTATCAATATCTTAAAATCGTACTCCAATTTGTACTTCATTTTCAAAAGGACGTCCTTCGTAGGCATACCAAGAAAGTAGGCGAGATCCAATATGCTTATGATTCTTATTACTTGAAATATTTCAAACCACAAACAAACTTACGTGTTTTTGAACAGCATCAAGCCCAAACTAGGAAAATTATCAAAACCACATGAATCCCCAACACCGCTGAAGAACCATTTGAACAAACTCCAGACAAAACTTATGCTCAAATACTTTCCAAGAGAGCTTACTTGTTTCCTGTCAGGAAATATATCTAATGTTATACAAGTTCATGGTAATATTGAAAATAAATCCAAAACTAAAGTTCTCCTTTTTCTTTATTTCAAAAGTCATAGATGGAACTAACTAGGAAACAAGCAACTACGGCACATTACTACGAACGGAACCAGAAGCTAAGACTCGGAGAAAACGGCATTCCCAAGATTCTGCCAAGACTAGGAACAATTTCTTATATTTTCTAATCCTTGTGTGATATTGTCACCATCTTTTTTTTGGAAGTATACTTTATACACATTCCATGAACCCTTGACCTCCAAGGAGGTTGGGATCTACTAGTAACTCGAGTACTGCTGGGCCAATGACCCTTTGGTGATATTGTCACTATCTTTGTTTTTTATGTTCAGACAAGTTGAAAGGACCTGACGAGCATTGTAAAATGAGCAATCCTATAAATATGCACACATATTACCTTGCAAGCTCGGCACCTGTAGTAGTGTGAAAACTATTTATCAACATCGCCGTGGCAGTTCCACTAGGGTATGTAAGTTTATAATCCATGACCATGACCTGAAATTTCAAACATGAACAGAAGCAACACACTGATGAACGATGGGACTTCCTGTAGCTATTGTCAATAGAAATGTCATAATTAAATGCAAGCATCATATGCTCTTGCAAACTATCTTCCAAAAAGTACAATTTCGCTTATATTTCAACTTGTACAAGGAAAGAGAAAGAGAAAACAACTGTTGAATTGAAGTTGAAAGTACAAGGAAAGACGCATAGTCACAAACAAAGTTCTACAAGTGCATAAACATTCCTAGGACATGTTTGTTAACAGCTTAATGAGCTTAACGAGACACATAACTTATTCGGTCTGCTATACATGACTGTTTGGTAGTGGCTTAATGATGTAGAAAGTGGCTTATTCAGTAAACTTTAGGCGAGAGGTTTATGCAGAAAGCCAATTTTTTTTCAAACATGCCCCTCCAAATTAAAAATCATGATTCTTCCATCTATGAAAAAACTTACCCAAACAAAAACCTTCGCTGTCTATACAGACATAATTAATCCTCATAGACAACTTATCCATACAGGACTTAATGGAAAATCAATCAAACAAACGGTTATATGCTTGTGGAAACATTTAGCAAGAAAATGCAACGCAAAAGAGAGGGACTTGTTACCTTGCGAAGTGGAACAAGACTGAAAAGTCCAAGAAAACTGACAACAAAAATGAAACCCATCATCCACAATAACCCTGGGTTCTTAACATCTTCAGCCCGATTACCAGGGTAATCAGCACCAATCAAATTATATGTTCTTTCATCCATCGAAAGCAAATAAGACCCGAATCCACCTGCACACATTTTAGATATCAACAAAATGCAAAGAGTATATCACGACATCAGCAGTTTGAATGAAAAGACAAAAAGACCAAGATCTAATTAACCATTATTTGACTTGTAACTTCAAACATGATATAATCTGATTCATCTCGTAAATGCAATAATTAAACCAAAAGATTACCGCTGAAAGCAAGGCCATAGCAAGCAACAACGCAGGTCTGAATCACAGTGTTCTCTTGCCGGGTGAAAGGCTGAACAGAAAAGCCAAACTTTTGGAGGAAAGTAGTCCATGATTTGACACAGAAGAATCCAAGCAAACCAGCTGCAACGTTTAAGGAAGGGATAATCCCAACGGTGAGATTGAGCTTGTGGGTGATGATACAAAAAAGGGTCCCCAACAAAGCACTGACAACTAAGCCCCTGAAGGTGATCTGATCTTTCCATTCGGGTATGGTTTCTAAATCTGATTGGATGTGAGAATAAGATGATTCGTCAAGAAAGGGTTCCGAGATTTCAACGGAAGATCTGGGGGGAGTCTCTGTTCCCATTTTTCAGAAAGATGAAGGCTACCTACTACCTACTACCTATTATCGGATGAGAGATGAAGGGGGCGAGATTATCGGAGAAGGAAAGGCATTGACAAACCAGAGACGATGGAGTCTGGGTAAATAATGGATGCTCCTCAGTCTCACCTTGCTTTGCGTGAAGAAATTGCGTCCTAGATCTTTGCTCCATTGCAGATTAGAATGACGTCACTAATTCAATATTTCCTTTTTTATTTTTTTCCTTTTACAATATATATATAGATACAAATATTCGAGTATCTAAACAGGACTTTTTTTTTTTTTTTTACACGTTCATTGGATTTGTAATCCGGATGAGTTAAATTTTTTTTTTTTTTCTTTTTTTTTTTTTTTTTTTAGTTTACACGTAATAATAAATAAATAAATAACAGAATTTTTGTAAACGATAATAATAATCCCTGGAATCGGCCCATCTGGACAAGGCCAGTCCTGAGTTATGTAATGGGCCATTAAAGAGCTATTTTAACTGTTTTTTTGTTGATAAATTTATCTGTTTGTATAGATTGAAAAAGTTTTTGTGTCAATGTTTTTCATAGATAGAAAAAGACATTTTTAATTAGGAGGTACAAGTTTGAATTTTTTTTTTTTTTGCTTTCGGCATAAAACTTCCTCTTAGTGAATAAAGTATTTTTTATATTATTAAGTCGTTACCAAACAATTATATATAACTAACCGAATAAGCTATAAATTTCATTAAGCTACTAACAAACATGTCCTAAGTGAGGGAGTGATAGATAACCAAGAGAGTTGATGACCCAAAAAGAAGTAATTGGGCCCGACCCAATATACCACAAACCCAAGCCAAGATATACTACTCGGTGTAGTGTAGCCCAACAACAGCAATTTATCATCTTTCAAAGCTACCTTCTCAGTGATATAAATGGTGTACAAGTTTCAATAAACAACTTACAGTTCACCCTGTGCTGGCTGCTTTGCTTTGCTGGTATTATTGTCCAGTTGGGAAAAAGTGAAGCTGAAACCCTACTACCTGCTACATCCCCCATCCAATTGGATAGCTCCTACTTACTCTCTATCACCAAACCCACATGATATCACCAACATCCTTCTTAGATTCTTACACTTTCTTCTTCTGGCTACACATTCTTTACCTTATTTGAGTTGTCACCTAGGATTGAAGGTCCACATAGTGTGCTTTAACTCATCAATCATACAAGCAGTAGGCCAACCACCACCCCAGATATTATTAAAATCACATCCAATAACAGAATCATTAACTGTCACAATCCCTCATCCAATTGTGAAAACATAATCTATATATAAATATTATGAACAACAAAACCAGTTTTCTTTCATCTTTCCAACTCAGCCACTGCTACGTTACGTTTTCGTTATAAACCACTGCAAATTTCATGAGATGTTGCATTAAATATCAATCTTTATTTCAACTGGCCAAAAGGGAAACTCAACCTCATCATGCATATGTTGTTGGATCAAACGCTCATGGAAGTTATTGTTTGTTCTAATGAGCAAGTGGGAGGGACAGCCTTCGTCAGTATCGTCTTTCGTATACCAGAGAAAAAGTAATGTAATATTTTTGTTTTAGAGCAACTTGTTCCTTAGCTAACTAAGGGATCCTCAAGCAGTGGCCGCCTTAAGGTCTAGTAACTTCATCACAATTATCTATCTTCCAACAACCATGTCTCATCACTTCCCTCGCTCATTTATTACTAAAATTAATGAAAAACAGCATGCAGCTAATAATATTTGATACATAAATCAGGCTATAAATGACTATATGTTAATGCGCAATAAACATATACCTCTGGATTCCAGATTCTCCATCACAAGTTTGCATTTGGTTGACACCATCTACTTGCTCTTGCCAAACCTTCTTTCTTGATGTAAAAAAAATATTCAATTTATGCTGCAGTGACTGAAGCATCATCCTAAACAAACACAGAGATAATAGACATAATCAGAGGTTCTCAGTTGTGGAAATATAATTATATGAGAACTTCTAAGATAACTTCTAACAGTTGATTTTCACATTGTAAGATCGTCACTGCTGATCTTTTAATCATCCAACTTAGATATTTCTTTCCATCCAAGATGGGTCCTGTCACTTTCCCGTGTACACATTGTGGGACTGATCAATTCCATTATTCATCATTCCTGCTAAAACCAACAAAATATTTCCAAAACTTGTGTATTTTACTGTTCGAAAGTATTTCGCTAAAACCAAGTTTACATTTCACAAGTTCTCATATACCCCAAATTAATACAAGAAAATAAATTAAATAAAAATTGTGCGAGTATTTTGTGAATGCCCATCACCAAAGATTCACGTTCTACCAGAAGCTTTGTGGTATGCTAATATGATGCAAACCATATTCAGCAAGTTAATATTCTTATGAAAACACCCAGCATGACAGTAGAGAGAGGATTGTAGAAGGCATCGAACATATGACAAGCCAAAGAACCTGCAAACAAGTTGTGGAGGTAGGGACTGCTTTAATTGCTGCAAAATGACGATGTTAATCTCAATCAGAGTCCGTCAAGAAAACAAATTTTATTTCACATGCATAGATGCAATAACTAAACTGAATATATAATCGTCGGAAACTGAAAATAGAATGTGATGAGTGCTAAAGAAGCAGATTACAACATAATTGAGAAAATGTAAACCCCCCTTCGCCTTAATTCTGTTAGTGGCTGGCATAGAGATCCTATACTAAACACATCAACATAAACACCCAATTTACACTCACCTTTTATCCCATTGGGTAGACCCTTGGATGTGACATATAGGTAGACAATGTCTTCTTAATTGTGAAGTAGTTTGGAAACTTTACTATAATTCAAACCTTCTTAAGGTGTGCAAAAAACCAAAATGCTGCATGCTCTACATGATGGAGAACATACTTTATCATAATATGCAACTTGTTTACTTTTCACACACAATCATTATAAATAGCTTGTTCGCTCTTCCCCCACTTCATGAAGTCCTAAATTAGTGTTCTCAAGCATTTTGTCTACATCCATTTCTTTCAAGCTATCATCACACCTTAATACGAAGTTCAAGATGAATGTAAGCACATCTATCTCCAAGTTTAGAGTAAACACGAAGTATCATCTTAATCTCAACCCTCTTCCTTTATTTTCAGTCATTAGGTTGGATGCACAGAAAGTTCAGGCAAAACAATGACGAACAAAGCAGAAGTGTCTCAAGAAGTACTTCCTCTGGCCTTTCCAAGCATTTCTATTTATTTTAAATGAACTACCTCTCCCCCTTTCCCAAAGACCGCTTCTGTGAGTCCCTTTAACATCATTTTGTCTTCTCATTGTCAACCAAGTTCCTGAGAAATTATTTAAGTTTTTGTGTCAAAAGTCACCAAAACTATTCAAACTCACAGAAGCAAGCTAGAGAAACTATGCAAGCAGTAGGTTCCAAAATGTGAGTTTATTAAAAGGTTAGCAGAAATAGCACCAGTTTTGACACCTAACTACGTGCAAGCATTCTCATGTGCATTTTCAGGGTTGTTTAGCTTTCATACAACATTTATGAAAAATCAATAAGCATTTCAACTTTAATTGCAGGGAAATCTTATTCTTGTTTCTCAGCAAAATGGGAGCTTGACGATCAACAATACTTTCCGGAAGCAAAAAACAATTCTGCATGCTTCAGACTATCTTCAGAATCATCTATAGCACCTGAAGCACCTAGAGTGGAAGAAGTAAATGATGAAGAAACAGTTGACATGAGCCATGATTTCTTTCATGGCTTTCTTGCAATTGGAACTCTCGGTTCGGCATCAATTACTAAAGAGCCCGTGACACCAAAAGTCGCAATGCCATTTGAAAGTTCAACTGAGGAAGAAACCAGAGCAGCAGAAGATGAACTGCAGTCTCCAAACAACAAGTTAGAGAAGCCAATTGATAAGGAAGTATATAATGTAAGTAATGAATCATCTAAAGGGAGAGTGGTTAGTTTAGATGAGAAGGAAACCAAACACATGGGTACCAAAGAGAACAAAAGTACGGTTGTGCATCCACTGAAAGAGTATTCTGAAATGCCGGCAACCAAAGAAAAGACAAAGGAACAAAAGACTATGCCTGAAAACTTCCCCAAGAAAAATGCCACATCCTACAAGAAATCAGGAAAATTAGACAAAGGGGAGAAAAGAGAAACTCCGGCTAAGAATTTTATGAAGAAAATGCTGAAAAAGCTTGATTTCACATCACGGTGCAGCCCAACTTCTGCTAGTGCTAATGCTATTTTTTGTAATTCAACCGAGAAACCCACAAAACCCACCAAGGTAGGTCATCTTGTACGCTTCCATTGCCATTAAACAAATCATTCAAATAAGTAGGCAAGTGAACTAGAATGAGGTTTCTAATTCACAACCTCATGGTAGGTTACTGTTATTTTAATAGAAAAGAATGATCCAAAGAAACATTCTGCCAGGTCAAAGGAAATACTATCATTCTCATGAGGCATAATAGACTACCAACTCAACATAGTTCCAACACAAAATTCTTCATCAGAAATTTCCACACAACCATGGCAACTCAACATTTTAAAAGAAGCCTCCAAGAATATTAATAAGTTATATCAAGCCCCATGTCTTTAGAATAGTGATATAATACTTCTATCATCTTTTACAGGTCTTTTGGAAGTCAAGAAAAATCCACCCTGAAGCACCTGGTCTTCATGTCAATAAGTCACACAACTACGAGTTCAAGAACTTGTGTTACGATGAAGGCTATGATAAAGAAGCGAAATTTGAGAATGAAGCTGACAAGTATCCTCATATGGGAATGTTAAAGAAAGAAACAGTTGGCAGCATTGAGTTTGCCAACGAGCCTCACAAAAGCCAGCCAGCTGGCAAAAATGCATACTGGATTAAAACTGATGCAGAATGTAAGTCAAATGCACCATAACTGTAGTCAACTGTAGGTACTAGCAACTGTTTTTATAAGATTACTCATCCATTTTCTCATTTCCACTGTTTACATTGTAGATTTGGTGCTGGAGTTTTAGAGGCTGGAGAAGATTGATGTCGTCAATTCCTTCTAATCTTATCTCATCCTTACAAGAAAAGGAGTTTGGTTGTGTGCTGGAGTGATAGCACCAAGTAAAGCAAGTTATAGTCATAAAGCGTATCTCTAAATGGAAAAAAAGCAAGAACATGAAATTTCTCCTGTTACCTTCAGGCTTGAGTGAGTAATATATGTATAATGCATTTTCCATAACCATCAGATACTGAAGTTTGTATCACACCTAACCTGCATGCTGAGATAAAGACAAATATTTCTTTTATAATAGCAAGCAAACCTTTCCTTTGAGCAATTAACCGAAAATATTGTTAACACAAACAAACATTTCTATTTACTTGTTTTATTGATCGTCAACATCTAAAATAACAAAAACTAGCAATGCTATCACTTCAGCAAGACATTTTTTTTGTATCTCAATTTCTTAATCTCACTACTACTCCCACCATGATTCACCGAGTCAAATGCAGTATCTTTCCAGAAAAAAGAAATAGAAAAACAAGACATTCCCCCCAACAAGTACATTTTATGGTGTATAGTAACTATAAGTGAAATCCAACACCTCATTAAGAAACATGTTATGAGTTGTTTGGTCAAAGCAAGTGTTATCAGCTCATAAAATGACCCTCAAGACCACTAAGAAATCATTATCAATGTACAATTCCAAAAACCAAGGTTATTTTGTACCACTTTGACTTAGATGAACAGTGATACACATTATGGTTATCGCTAGGGAATTAAAAGAACTGCACCAGACCCTGTAGTACTTTGAGTAAGTCCCGACACAGTGAATTTCTTCACATTTCACATGATCCATTACAATAACCATGTGCCAAGGCCCATGTACATGTTCCTGTTCCAGGGGATTTAGGTCATTCATTCAAAAAGATAATCATCAAAAAATTGATTCAAAACTCAATAAATACCCTCCTCTCTAAATCTCTCTAGTGTTACAAAATCAAGATACAATTTATGAGCTAATGAAATCAACGGAGTACTTGGTAAGGATGGTTATCACAGTTAAACATGACGCATTAATAACCAGACATCTTTGTTCCAGAATCATCAAGGAAGAAGTATTGCCATGGGAGTTGTAAAGCCAAATCATCATGAACCAACTGCCATGGGTTTTCTGAACCATGACATTGGTGTGTCATAATTTGACTTGTTGTAATGGTTGATTCTAGCCATTATTTTTTGTAATCCTTGTCTTTCAAATAATCTCCAGTTTACACCTGCAAAAAGTTGGTTATCAGTGTAAATGAATATTTAAATTGCAAACACTTTCCTTCTATCAAGGGTGGGGGGAGAGGGACCGTACTAGTTGTATCTTGTATGTAGTGTAAACATTTTCTGGATGTGATATAGCAGACAGCAAAACGATATATGAACACAGATGTTGGTGAGAGAACTAAACGTGCTACATACTCCCAGAGCAAGGAATGTATATCACAAGATCAATATTATACCTAAGTGCATTTGTATCTATGCAAACATGCATATGCTTGCCTTTTACAAGATACTAGTGCATTACAAACGAGATGCAACATGATTGTTCTTTATACAATTAAACTTGGACAAGATAGTATCTACGTATTTACTGATGGATGCATGGAATTTAATTTTTTAGTGTGATTTTAGGCATCTTTCTATGGCCCCTCTCAAACGAGACAGGATATCAAGTTCATTTCATACTGGGCCAGACCGGAATAGGGTAATATACATTCTTTGTAGTCATAAAGTTCTAGCCTAGCTGATGTGCTTTCATAAGATAAACTGTATTCAAATCGTTTCAAATTACACCGTTTCAATTGATAGCTTTTGTACACAGAACTACACAAAAAGCATTGTGGTATTACCTCTGGCAAACATCAAAGTCATAAGATCGGAATAATATAGTGAGAAGATTATATCGGTAGTGGCTTCTCCGTTAGCACTCCACCCACATCCATCCTCCATGATCTGTCAACCAGAGGTGCTAACTCTCTGCAATTACGGCATATATGATACACACAGATAAATCAATAAGGGAAGATACAAGTGATGCCACATTCAGTTAACAAGAGCAGTACAAAGATGAAATCTTGGGTAGGAAAAACTTACTTGAGGTCATGGCTTACAACGAGTATAGTCAGTTCTTTCTTCAAATCCATGAGCAGCTTAACAACATCAGCACGCGCTTTCCAATCTAAATTGAGAATGTACAGTAGTTTAAGTTCTCATATGTGAAAGGGTGCAAATACTGCATGACTAAGTAAAGCTCCTGAGGTGAAAATGTCAGGAACCAGCATCTGTAACGCTTTTATAAAGATATCTAATGGTCTACAATCATTAGAAAGTCAAATTAATCACAACCGGTGTCTGTGATCATAGTTTCTGTTGAACAATTAACTGTATCATACTTGAAATAATGTACATATCTTGATATGCTATGAATATAAAGATCATTATAGCTATAAGACAACAATATTAGGAAAGCTAAGGTCGATAATGCCTTTTCCATACCAAGACCAGCAAGAGGCTCATCAAGTACCAGTAATTCCGGAGTTTGTACCTGAGTGAGGCCAGCATATATCAAGTGATCAAATTCGATATATTATATGTACATAATAAATGGTTAAAGATCCAAAAGAATACACCTCATACCAGCTGGATAGCAAGAGCAAGGCGACGTTTGTATCCACCACTTAGGGAATTTGGACTTTTATCCAATGAAATACCAGTTAGACCAACCTAACAATTTAAGATGCAAAGTGGAATTGAGTTGGTGCATGTTGAAGGCAACCGATGTATCAACAAGATAAATTTCTAAATATGAACATAAAGAAACTTCAGTTAAAACTGAGAGGTAAAATACCGAAGTAATAGCTCTTTCAAGTCTTTTAGCAATGAATTCTTTAACTTTAAGGTCACTGTTCTGTCTAGGCAACCCAAATGTAACTTCATCAAAAACATTATCTGCCACAAAGTACCTGTATCACAACAGTTCACCTTAGAAAAACATCATATATATGTCTCCATAATAATGAGTTGAGAAATAATAGCACTTAGAGCATCTTCTCTGACATAAAGAGCCTTTTTTATCCTTAATCACACTTCTCGAGTAGTATAACTTGATAATCTAGCCTCAACCATGCCTAACGGCTCTCTATCATCGAAACTCATCCCAGATCAATGAACTGACTACATTTCTACATATGCATATAATTGATATTGTGTGCAAATTCAAAGTTAGTGCTCCTGGACTAAAAATAAAGCATCCACTATGATGCACATTGATACTATTCTGAGAATTAATTGCAACAATTTCATAGAAAGTTGAATGACTTATTGAACAAACCAGCTTTCCAGAGGCTGAAACTCTCCCTTACGGTTCTTGCCTCAAGAATCAAGAAAGGTGAATGAATGCCTACTTCCCTGACTTTTTTTATCCAATTATAACTCACCACAACTTCCCTAAACCAGCCAACTTTCCACCCTGACTTATTTGTTTGTAACAGAGTCATGCTATTTACTATATATTCATTCTTTATTTACTATTATTCCTCATTATTACTTCTGGATCTTCAGCATGTCCTCAAGGTGAAAACAAGAAAATCGATTGTTTCGTGGTTTCCTGAAACACTAATATATTGAGCTCCTTTTCATTTATGTCCTGGTGAAAAATAGTGAATACCTTTCAGGAAACTGAAAAACAATACCAACTCTTTCTGGAGATAACAGCATAGGAGGCTGATTTGGGCTGCCATCATCACTGTATCTTTGAATGTAAATGGAGCCTGACGTTGGTTTAGTTAGCCCTGCAATAAGCTGTATGGAGAGATCAAAAGAAAATGCATATAGAACATCTGATCAAGTATAGAAGTTTGAACAATAAAATACAAAAATGGGCAAGCATATCTAGAACAAAGTTTCGGAACCTAACCTGCAAAAGGGTAGTCTTCCCACTTCCACTTCGTCCGAAGATCAAGCCGAAACTGTAGCAAACAGAGATGGTCAATGCAACAGCTACAGATCCATGAGTGTTTGAAACTCTCATTAGTGCTTGAAGACATTTCATTAGCAAAATCAACTTACTATAGGAAAGACAAATGTAGAATGATCTCAAAAAACTGAAATGTGTAGAGCAAAAAGAATAAACTAGTACCTTTTCTCTGGAAGAGTAAAACTAACATCATTTAGGAGATTGAGCTGAGTCCCAGGAGGTCGGTATTTAATATCCCTTATCTACAGGACACCAAATTGAGAAGTTTCAGGAGGTAGACAAATAAATAGAAGGGAAAATGGCACAAATAGCCATTTCAGCCGACCAAATTTACCTCTTAACCAATTCTCTCCCAAGATTTCAAAAAAGTCACCACCTCTGCAAGTAACCGTTCCTCAACTTGCGGAGGGGCTGAAATGGCTATTTGTGAGAAACCCAAAGTTTCAAACTTGCGAAGGTGCCACTTCTTAAGTCTCCATTTTCATAAAAAAAAGCAATGGATGACAAGAACTTGCGGAGCTACACATGGCCACTCCTCAAGTCTCCGTTTTCATACTTGCCGTGCTACACATGGCCACTCCTCCTAGATGTTCAATGATGAAAAACTCAAGATTTTCATTATTCTGTTATTAAAGTACCCCCTCCAAGAATTGCGTCTTGGAGACTTGCACAGGTGTTGATTTTCTTGAAAAAGTGGGAGAATAATGGGTAAGAAGTGAATTTGGTCGGACAAAATGATTACTTTTGTTAATTTCCCTAAATAGAAAGGTATAGTTAGAGCAACATCACATACATAATTGCTATCTAATAAGATAAAAATTGGAACAATTCACTATACATCAAAGGGTTTGTGAACAATCATCCGAGATGCTCTGTACTGTACACACAGGTCGACTCAAAACTTAAGCAATGGGTACATTTATGAGAACACCGAACCGTTTAATTGATAAATATAGCAAAGAGTAGAAAGTTGCAAAACGAGATGAGACTTACTTCGAAACAGGAGTGATGGCATGAGACTTGGAATGCTCGATTCTTCTTGATCCTGACACTGCTGGAAAAAAAACAATCAATTGAATCACAGTGAATGAATGAAAAGCCAATAAGAAAAAAGGTAGAAGAGGCCAATGGATTGCCTGTCGGGATTTGGTGAAGTGAGTTTGAGAGGTGGTCTCCAGGCGAGGATGGGACAGAGAGAGGTCGCCATTTTTCTCCAGACCTCGTGATTATGCGGTTAGATAGACGAGTACAAATACAGCATTCTTCAAAACTTGTCCAAAGTTAAAAAGTGAAACTTTCAAATATATATTCAATTTATCGGCCTGTTTTTATTTTTAGGAAATTAATAAAACAATCTAAACATTATATTATATAAATAATAAATATAGATTTTTTATTTAATAATATTTTATTATAAAATTTCAAGTGTTATTTTATTGTAAAAATAGGTTATCGTTATTCCATTCCAAAAGTTTGAATTACATCATTAATTATTATTCAATTTATTTAATAAAATATTATTATTTTTTTCCTTGTAAATTATTTTTAGTGGTAGTAAAATGGTTAGTTTATTTCATTATGTCTTTGGAATATCCCATCCCATGGTTATTTTTGTTAGGATGCTTTAATTAAATAAAATAGAAATTATTGATATCCATGAAAAAGAAATAATGGGAACAAAACATATATAACAACAAACAATTTAATTCCTTTTTTCTTTTTACAATTACATAAGAATGACTATTTAATTATCAATTTATTATGTTTTGACATCGTTACAAGTTAATCCAAATACTTTTTATAAAACTTTAATTTAACATCACATAACTTGATATGCACTTTTAAGAAGAAGAAAAAAAAACATAAATTGTTTTAAATAAGAAGTCTCAAACACCAATATATATATATATATATATATGTCATGTGTGTATAGGATGGAAACTGTTAGTTTTAATTGCCTCATCTTTAATGATGATGTTTAACTAAATATGATATGGCTTTGTGTTATTGAAAACTTGTTCAAATACTAGTGATATTGGGTTTGTGTTTTGGTGATGTCTTATTATCTAAATTTTAGTTTTTGTTTTAAAGATAGAAATAATAATGAAAAATGGTCCTTGGTTCAATACAATACAATACAATACAATGCAACGAGTGACTGACTACTACAAAATGAATAATCATCTTCAATTGGGAGGTATCAGAGTATTGTTTCATTTTTATTTTCATATCATATGACAAGTTTTGTAGCAAGGGAAATAGAGGATGAAGAAATCATCATTTGGATCGGAAAATGCATAACAAAAAATTGGATCCTTGGGGATGAGGAGACCAATTACACAAAAAGGTGTAGGATACATTCCCTTTAATCTTCTTCGATTGCCATTACACCAAATTTGATCTTCATGTTGGAGTTGAATTGGTGTCAATTTTGGTATTTTTGATGTCACCATTGTCTCGATTGGTGTGATCAATTCAATTTACAAAACAACAAAGATATATCATTGAGAAAAGCTAATTGTATCTTCTATTAATGCTTCATGCGTGTGTCCAATATATCAAGAAACTTTTGGTACAATACGAGACCTAGCAAAACAGTGTACTTTTAAGGCTTCATAGTCTTGTAGAAATAATTTAACAACACACACCCAACACAAACAAACCGAGAACAAAGCCTCACAGTGTACTTTTAAGGCTTCATAATCTTGTAGACATAATTTAACAACACACACCCAACAAAAACAAACTGAGAACAAAGCCTCACAGCGTACTTTTAAGGTTTCATAATCTTGTAGAATAATTTAATAACACACCCCCCCCAACACAAACAAACTGAGAACAAAGCCTCCCAACGTATAAATAGAAGCAACCACCATCTCCAGGAGACTCATTATCGCTATAGTTAGCTTTTTCAGGTGCAAATACACCATAATCTCCAATATAAGCAAACCCCATCTCAAGGAGTAACTCATATATCAAATCAAACAAGCCGGAGTATATCCCATCCAAAGGTGGGATTGGGGATGTGATAATACACGGAATTGTCTTTTATTCTTGTAGGGTAGAGCACATCTCCAAGGGTAACCATCACCTTTAGACTCGCATACAAAACCAAACCAAATGAGCAAGTGCAGTACTTTACACTATAAAGAAGCAAGTGCAAGAGGCAAGAATACCTTTGCTCACAAAGTACAACAAATCCCATCAACCATTAAAAGGTAAGTTATAGAAAAAGGTGAAGACAGCAGCTTCTGAGCCAGCCAGAAGTGAAGTGTATAATGGAACCAGTGGCTTCCACCTAAGATAGGCTCGTGCAGCTAAAGGTTGTAACAGATGAGAACCTGTGACCTATCCTAACTTACACACCTAAATTCATCTAGGTCCTTCAACTCATTTAGAAATTAAGTAAACTGCACAACCAGTGTAGCATTCTTATATGCATAATGGTCTGCAACAAATGACAAATATGATAGTTAAATAACCCATTACCTCCTTCATAGCTCCTAATGTTCTTGGTCAATAACCTGGAATGAACCATGCAAATTCTACAATTCTGAAGTAACTGGCTTTGTGAAAAAGTATCAATGAAATGTGCATCTTGGAGAATTCTGTACATATGGTGTGCAGCTGAGCTCATCATAAACAATTGCAGAATTGATGAAATCTCCATTCAAAATCTGACGACACAGGTCATAAGCTGGAAGTAAAACCTTCTACCATGACTAGTCAGATCAAAAGTTTACTTGTAAACGCAAATGTCATACATTTAACATTACCAAGTCTCGCACTCAAACAAGTCTCAAAAACGAGTACCACATAACAGAAAAATTGAAACACGAACTTGTGAATATAGAAAATAGGTGAAATCAACGCAACCTTCTAGCCTCCCTCTCAGACTCGAGCAAGGTAAGAACATCACCCTCTCTGACAGGTCCCTTGACGTTTCTCATGATGAAACGGTTCTGGTCATCGAGAAATTTCACTCTCACTTGTGTCACCTGCCCTCTGGATCCAGTTCTCCCCATCACTTTCACCACCACTGCGTGCTTGATCTGAGACTCCATCTTTCACTAGCTGGTTTCAAATTTTCAAGGCAAATACATGTTCAACCAGTGTATTCGGCGTAGAAAAATCTTAAAACATACAGAAACAAACTCAAATCGTCTAAAAATGAGAGCAAAAATGTTCATATTTGAAGCACAAACGAAAAACGGATAATATATATTACAGAAATCGCAAGCATTCAACATAGCTCAACTGGTAATACAGCAAGATAAATATTTTCAATAATTAATACAGAAAAAAGAGGAGATTACCTTGCGTACGTGAGATCGACAGAGCGGCTGCTGCTGCTTGCAAATTTTCAGAATGACGACTATCGGAGAAGAGAAGAACCCTAAAGGGTCTATATAGGTGAGTGGTGAGTGGTGAGTGGTGAGATATGAAGTCCGCCCCGACTAATGGATTGAATTGGAAGCTCAGAATATGGGTTTTCATTGAGCCCATTTAGAAATAGCCTCCTCCTACCTACAGAAACAATGGCCCATTTTTCTCAATTGGGCCTTATCGCTTAAAAAAAAAAAGAGTAAATTATATATTTGGTCCCTGTGATTTGTCAAAAGTAACACTTTTCATCCGTTTAGTTTTGAAATTACAGTTTTACCATAGTGGTATGCAACACGACTGGATTTGGTCCCTCCCTCTAACGAACGTTAAAATAACCCGTTAAACCAGGGGCATTTTAGTCTTTTTATATACTTATAATATTTTACTTTTAAAAAAAATAAAAATTAATTAATTTTAGTCTCCTCCCTAGTTTTTTTTACCTCTCGCAATCTAAACCAAAAACTCTTCGGTCATCTTTTCAGGCTACCACCACATCCACATCCACATCCACATCCCCTCCTTCGGTCATCTTCCCAAACCATGAAAGTATACTAGTCCATTCACACCCAAAATCAAAATTAAACCTAAATCCAAACCTCAAAATTAAAATGATGAAGCAATTAAAGAAACAAAGGATGGACAAAACTCTCCGGTCATCTTTTCGATTCTCTACAAAAACTTTTCCATCATTTTTTCAACTCTTGGCTCTTCTGTTACCGGCCAACATAAACGTCAACCACTCCCTTCTATCAAACCTAGAATCCAGAACACACCTCTAGCGTTCGGTCTAACCACATCCTATCTCTAAACCTTGTCCCAAACCACTCCTTTTCCTTCGATCGGCCCTCTAGAAACGACCACTCAACCTGGCTTTGAGTTTGCTAATGTTCCTCTTCTATTAATAAGCAGTTAAGCATACACATCCCTACAACCTCTCACCCCTTTACCCCACCCCCTTTCTTCGATGCATCCTTTCCGACCAACCCCCTCCCCACACAACAACATTTATCTATAAACCAACTCCACGAAACCCATCTTCAATTTGGGTTACAAAACATTTCCTAGGTAACTTACCATCTTCAATATGGGTTACTTAACTTTTTTTAATTTGAAAATTTCTCATCTTATCAATCAAAAATTGATAGGGTAAGTTTTAGGTTGAAAACTAAACCCTAATCAAATACCCCACCCCTGCCATCTACAACATCGAAGCAAACATTCATACATACTCATTTCAAATCAAACCCTTCAAATTTGCTTCTATTTGAAAGAGTGGAAGAGTGAAATGGAAGTACCCGGGTTGAAGAGGTGTTGATCTAGTGGTGGTGGCCACTGGGTTTTTCACCAAGGAGTAAGGTGCAAATCGGCTTCAAAGAGTTACAGAACGTCGTGAGGTGTATATCGGGTTTGAGGGGAGTTGTAGACCTGAGAGATGTGAGGGTCACAGGGGATAAGATAAGAGTAAGAGATGCTCATGATTAGGATTGGAGATGCTCAGCAGTAACTGGAGATGCTAGTCGGAGACCCGAGGTGATGGTCGAAACCGGAGATGCTTGTTGTAGACTAGAGATGCTCGTTGGGAAGAACACGGGGTTAAGGGTGCAAATCGGCTCTCTTGGGGAAAAGATGAGCAGGGGGTTTATAAAATATTTTTGACTTTTAATATAAAATGAGACTAAGATCTGAAAAGACTAGAAAGCCTTTCATTTAACATTCAAGTGATAACGTTCGTTAAAAGGAGGGACCAAATACGGTCAATTTTGCATACTACAACGACGAAGCTATAATTTCACATTTGCATGGACGAAAAGTGTTACTTTCGAAGGACCAAAAATGTAATTTACTCAAAAGATGATCAATGGATATAGTTAAAAAGGTGGTTATAACAAAACAAAACAAAAAAAAAAACATATTTTCCCCAAATTTTTAAAAGGAAAATTGGTGAAATATAGTAAAAATTAGAGCGAAACAAGATACACCAAATAAACGATCACTTTATTATCTCTAACTTGACATCCATTTTGATATATTTTTTCATCCGTTCACGATTCTGCGATTTTTTTTCAAAGTTCTCCTTTGATATTTAATATATATATATATATATATGTGTGTGTGTGTGTGTGTGTGTGTGTGTGTGTGAAAAACACATAACACTGTACACTTCAAGTTTATATTAAATCACTTATCGGATAATGACCCTCAAACCAATAGTTACAAATGACAAAAAATATTGTGAAATATATAAAGTTAATAAAAGACTCATTGACAAGTACTCCTAAACCGGCCCTAATGAGTCCCAGTGGTCCAAATTTGATCATTTGACAGGTGCAAACCGGGACCAAATTTATCCGTACCGGTACTCACTCAATCTTTTTAGTCCATATCAGGACACTGATCCGTAACCATCCTTTGTCACGAAAATTGGCCTTGACTAGTTTTCATTGTAACTATATTGGTCCTCGGTCTCGGTCTCGGTCTCATTTGTGCATCTCTAGGATAGTCTCTTTTAGATGAATCAACATTTAATCTTGTTTTGTTATGATATCTATTTGGTACAATCCATTTGATGTTTTGTCTACATACTCCTAAAGCAAAAGTTTTCATATTCCTTTGCTACTAGTTACTAGTTAGGTTGTCTAGACTCGGAATAAGTAACAGTCTTTGCTAGCAAACAAAACAAAACTCTTTTCTGCAGAGAACAATTTATCAAGAATCTGAAGGACGAAGAATTGGTCCAACAAGGATAGATGGTGAGGAGATTCTTACATGATAATGACCCTCGGAGACACCTTATGCTTGAAGGTAGTATTAAAAAAATCTTGTCAGTTCTCATAACAACACTACTATGGACCTTAAGGTTAAGATCCTCCAATGATGAGGTTGCTTCATTTGGATCAACTTCCATCTCAAATTAAACTTGGCGTATATAAACAAGCAACTAATTTAAGGATATCTTTTGGATCCATAGTCGACTCATTTGTCAATCAGTATTATCACAAGACAAAAGTAAAAAGGACTTTTGGACCACAAGATATTCTTTACGATAACCAAAATGATTCTCATCAAAATGATTTTATTTTGTGCCTTACCCATTGGTCATTTGACGAAACTAAACCACGATTATAGAAAGAAAAAACACCTTGATCGACGAGGGACCAACAAGCGGTTAATTTTTTAGATATAGATTTATAGAAAAGTGTTGTATTCATGATGGCAACTAAACACGAAGGTTGCGCTTGTTGCAGGACTTAACCCAACACACGGCTTTTTAGAAGAGGTTGGAGTCAAATCGCAATGATTATGCATTTAACTTAATATATATATTTATACGATTTATTTAGTAACAAGTCTTGTAACATGGCCTCGAATGGCGTATGTGGAGAAACATGTATGTGTGGCGTACATATGGAATATTTTATGAGAGAAGTTGTGATGTACATCAACCAACTTTATTGTCGTGTTGTTGATATCAGAATAAAGCAAGACTTCCCCGTTTGGAAGTAAGAGAAGATAGGTTGATGAGAGAATTAGATGCGTTAAGTTTGTTTTGAAATGTAAGGGTATATGTAGATGATGTAATAATGAGTGACGACACCGGATGCATTTTAGTGGTTGTGTGTGTATAAGATATGTACATATGAAAACAAACAAGTTAACTTTTTTAGGCAACAAATGGTACGTATGTTTAGAGAATATTTTATATATGTGTAGATGCTCCTGGGAGTGGTTCTCTGAAGTTTGACTCAAATGGACCTGCAACTCTCCATCAAAACTTATGATCCATTAAATTAATTTGAACATATATTATATATATATATATATGCATAATAGATTAAATATCCAACAGTAAATTAATAAATGAAAAGATTCCAAGATTGTATTCAAGATATATATTGATAGCAAAACAAATGAAAAGGAATCTAATCATCCAATATATAATATGGTTTTATCTTTCCTTAATTAAAAGCAACACCATCACCATGCATGCATGCATGTGTTATTTTTATTGTCATTAATAATATATATTAACTATCAAATCCATTCTCATATATATTCTATATTTTGAAAACGTATCAACTCATACATTATTAATCAAATTATGTAAACACTGCATTGCATGACCTAAATAAAGAATTAATCATTTGAGTAGGAATCATCTTTTCCTTTATTAAAGCAATCCCTCCACGTACGTACATATCTATTCATATTATTTTTTTAAATAAAAAATGATTGGTATCATCATCTTTTTTTTTTTTATTATTATGGAAAAACTAGCTAATGTTTATATATATGTGTGTGTTTAAACAATAAGTAATTCATAAATTAATATCTCATATTAATTTATCACATATTCTTTTTTAAAATATTTATATGAAAGCGACAAGACTAACATAAGAATGATTCGGTTTCTTATGAAGTGCACCCACAACTTCATTATTGGCTTCATGTTCATACCTATCTCATTAGTCATTACCCACCCTATCTATAAATTAACCAATCTCATGCTTCATGCCTCCAACTCATACCCCTTCAAACCCAATCCTATTCTCAACCAATGGACTCCAACACCAAGATGCGCAAAGGCTTCATCAAAGGCAAGTTGGTCATGTCTTTCTATAGAGCCTCTAAGCCTTCCATCACCACCATCAACAAGACTCACAACACCACTGCTCTTCCCTCCTCCTCCTTGATTATGAACCAAGAGAAGGTAAACCCTCAGCCACAGCACAAGGTGTCTTACGTCATCCCACATACAACAGGTACCTATGGCATGTTTGATAATCCCTATGGTGTTGTGGCCGATGAAGCTGTTGACGCAAAAGCTGCCACTTATATCTCTTGTGTCCATGAACGATTTCAACTCGAACATGTTAATTAATTCATGTTGAGTGGGTGAAGCCAACTAGAGCTAGCTAGCCAGTAGTAATCCTCCATTCTATAGCGTTTCTTTCATTTCGTTCTTGGTTCTCGATCGTTTCATATATATATGGCGTGATAAAGATCCCATTAAAGTAAATGAAGATTCATCCAGACGAATGGGGAACTCGTTATTATAAATTGTGTATTAATATGTATAGTATAGTAGGGTAAATTAATTAATTTTAAGATGTGAGTTTCTATTAATGTTATTTTTCCCAACACCTCATATTTGAAATATTCAAGGGTTAGCTAATTAGATATACTATACAAAAAAATTTAAACTTAAATATTGGCACCACAAACGTACTATATATAGAAATTGATAACATTAATCAAATCAACGTTGGACTCCTTTCCATAATGAAATTTAAAAAAAAAATGGTAATAGAAGATACAATATAACCCTCTATGGTTTAGATATAAATTTTCTTTAAAAAATAAAATATGTTGCAACTTTTTTTTTTTTTTTTTTTTTGAAGTATACAAATATTTGCATATGCATGGTGGATAAGGAAATAAAGGAACGAATTAATATTACTTAGAGTTTGATACAAAAATCTAATTATAATCTGTTTTTGTGTAAATTTTAGAAACAAATTATAAATGTTTTTGAATTTAGTTCATTCTCCTACTAATTTAGAGGAAATGAGATGATATGGTATGGTATGAACCATTGGGACGAGACTTTTAAATCTAAATGATAAAGCTATAGCCTTTATATAGATTAACTTTGACAAAACTCAATACATGAGCTTCTAGTTCCACACATGACCCCCGCCAACCCCAACCCTAACCCCAACCCCGCCTACAGTATATGGAAACAAATGAATCCGGTCCGAAATCCATTGGAACCGACATGAGACCACCAGTTAAGGACCGGTTATGGTTTTTGTTGATCAAACAAGGCCCGACCCGACTTTTTTTAAAAAAAAAAAAAAGTATTTTAGTATATCTTTTTAAATGTATTTCTAACCTTCTACTTGTATTTGATTGGAAATCAATTTAAGATTTATAATAAAACGTACTTTTTAAGTGTATTCGATTGAAGATCAATTATAAAACTAAAATAAAACGTATTTGATTGATGCAATTACATATTTTAAAGTGTATAATTAGGATAAGATTAAAGTATTGTTAAAAAAAGAAAATAAAAAATATTATGTTCTTTTTGATATAGGATCGATTACCCTTGGCCGGTGCGGATTGTTTTGATTTGGGTCTGGGAGGCAAACCTATTTTATCCACAGATAAAAAAACATACCTTCCATCAACTCAAAGAATCAGTATCCTTGCATTAAGTTGAAGAAGTTCCACCTCAATATGGACCAACTTCCATAAACTAACATGCATATGGAGGGTGGAGAGTGTGACGATTGAGGGACATGGATATGGATATGGATATGGATATTGCAAATTACCAACATTAATTAAATTGCATTTCAGTTTCTAAGTCCAGTTTTCCAATGCAATACATGCATGCAAGTCATATAAAACTAAATTGCAACATAATTCATAGTTGAAGAATTTTCAAAGTCATGAGAGATCTAGTGGTTTATGGTTGTATTGGAATTTGGAAGTAATCTTCCGTAGACCAAGTTGAATCATAAGTATAAGAGCGGTTTATGGGTTTAACTTGACATTACTATATAGAAGATGGCATGTTTGCAATTGCATGATGTCTGAATGGCCATGGCCATGGCCATGACAGTGACAGAGTAGTAAAAAGTTGTATGTATGAAAAGCAAATTAAAAGCAGCTGAAGAAAGAGAATTAAGCAGTTGATTGTAATGGATAAAAGTGAGAATTGAAACTTAAAAAACAAATACAAATAATAATTGTGAGAGTGTTGGTATCTGATGCAATTCATTCTTCTGTGGTGACAGCAAGGGTTGAATAAGAGCGATGTTGATGGTCGAGACCTTAACCATATATGAGTAATCCTTGATTTGGGTGGTCCTGTTGGTGAAGCAATGTATGTATGATAATAATAATAATAATGTAAAAAGAAAATAAAGTTAATAAAAAATGGTAAAGTATTGGAAGATGTTATCTATGATTTTTGAATAAAGATAAAGCTAAATAATAAAGTTAATAGAAAGACTGATTGCCTATGCCTATGCCTATGCCTATCTAATCTTCCACTTCTTTTTTTATTCACATCCTTAAGCTTCCTTCAAAAACCAAATCATCAATCAAATCTACTTCTACTTCTACTTCTACTTCTACTTCTACTTTGGTTGTGTATTTTAGTATTAATTAAAAAAATCTAATATAAATTAATAATTTGTACTTACTTCTTCATAAATGTTATCTATCTGAGTGGATAATTTATAAGATGAAACCAAATGAAGTTACTATTGATGACAAATTCTAGCAACATACATAAATCAATTAGATGAAAGCCAAATATATATAATTAAGGAATCTACCTCCTTTTTCTTGCTTATATCTATGCATTCTCCTCTTCCTATATAATATAAACTATAAAGCAATATTATGGAAGAAAAAAAAGGCACAACAGTTATTGTAATCTGATTATGATCTAAAAAGCTAATGTCTCCCACCACCCTCCATATAACATACCTTCATCTCCCTTGCCTTCATTCCTCACGAAATCACTCCTCCTGCTTATTTGCTCTCACCCGATATGATGCATATAGATTTGGGGCCCGCCGTCGTAGCCGTGATTATGTTCATACTCCTCTCACCAGGGTTGTTGTTCCAGATGCCAGCACGAACCAGGATCATAGAGTTTGGAAACATGTACACTAGCTGCATAGCCATTCTCATTCATGCCCTTCTCTATTTTTGTATTTTTACCATTTTGGTTGTAACTATAGGTATTCACATACATACTTGATTCTCTTTTCTTAAAACTCTTTATAAACAAATGTATCATCTCAACACTCTCTATATATGTCATACAATACAATTGTAGAATGAATGAATGTAACTATGAGCATCATGGTAACTTAATTACGATTCCATACAACTTCCTAACCCATGTATGTATACTAACTAATGCGACAAGCAGCAATACGTCACCCTCACTGAGAAAAATTGCAGCTTCAATTTGAATGTGAAACTTCCCACCTACATACCGTTAAGACAATTCAACTACAGCTACGTGTTCAATGACACTAACATCTTCCACCAAACAAGTCATTTCATTTGATGAACGTGACATGTGATGTTTTGATCTAGTGGGTTTTGACCAGATTAAATGTGTTTCATGTATAGTATACATGACAACCTAATTTTTGGATGCGATATGATATGCTTGGCTGGTTTGGTATACATGTGTATATTTATATAATACATTTTTCTGTGCGTGTTTTGGAGAGGGTGTATATATCTGTAGCCCTATGCCAGGTCCACCGCAACACAACCGTGTTAATCTAAATGGGCTCAAACATTAACCTTGTGGGTTAACTCAACTATCAATAAGGTTTGGGTCTTTAGGGTTCCTTGGAGGTTATCGGCTCGAATCTTGCAAGAGATTTTCCCATATGTTATTTAAGTCACTTAAGATTAGTCGAGATGTGTACAAATTGGTCTAAACACTCACGGTATCTCTTTGTGTTCTCCGATCAAGACACCTCTACTTCTTTGTCTTGCTATTTCCACTTTTTGTCTACAATTTGAATGTTTTTTTATAAGAATAAGGGCATTGATTTGAGGTTCATCGTGTGTCTTTTTGACTTATTGTTGTTCTTTGATACAAGATTAGAGAAAGCAATTAGAATTACAAGTGAAGTGGTTAGCCTAAAAAATTCTACTTTTGTTGTGATAACAAGTCTCGAACTACAAAATTAGAAAACACGTAATAAACTCGATGTTCCTGAAAATTCTTGCCATTTGTATCAGGAAAACATTCGATTAGAAAAGTTAACCAAATTTGAATTGTAGATGTAGGAGTACAGGTACTAGCAGTGCATCTTAGAAACTGTTTGGAAAACCACGAATTAATTTGTTACATAATTTTTCTTGGTCTCAGTAGGATTCATTGGTCATATGCTCATTTTAACCCCGTTATTTACTCATGACCAAACTTTGCCTTCCATGAAACGCAATCCGGTTAGTATTTTTTGTGCAAAGTAGGACCGTGAAGAAGTTGAGTTTAGGTAAAACAAAAAAATGAGCTGCTTTTCAAGCCATTATATCATATTTTTGGTAACTTTTATCTTTTATGGACCATAATTCTTACTGATATTTTGGAATGATTTGAACTTTCGAGTAGAAATTTCTTTACAAGTATATCATTCTTACGAATACTGAGTTACAATTCACATTTAATTTGATTTGTTACACATTTGATTGTAGAAAATACAATAATCCAATTTGGCCTTGGTGGTGGTGGTGGTGGTGGTGGGGTCGGAGAGAAAGTGGAGGTGAGGTTGCAAGTATTGGATGACGGAGGTGTCGAAGGTGGTGGTGGTGGTGATGAGGGTTGAATGATGGCGACACTCAAGATAAGATCCCTTTTAATTTCTTTACAAAATTTTAAAATACAACTATGTTAGCAATTTTTACATATAGTATCGAATCAAAGCTAAAGAGTACCTTCCAGTGGCTTCCACAACCTTCTAGGGTTCTACTAGCAAAAAATGTCGGCATCACCGTCGGTTGAATCCATCCATTTCCAATTGAATTCACATTGGAAAACGAATGAATCTGGAAGAAAATTAACATGGATCCTCTTGACCTACCGTCAATTGTTGATAACTGCAATGGCGGAAAGTGAATAGAAAACATGGATTTGGTAGTGGATCTGTTCTTAATGCCATAGCCATAGCCATAGCAATAACGAGTTGTACAACATGCATCAGAGATTTCAACTTCGATAAAGCTCAAACCAACAGAATCGTCGAAAGAAACTCGAGAAAAAGTAGATCTAGCCGGAAGAGAAAGGGAGATGATAAATCAAAGAAGAAAATCGAAAAATTAATCAATAGGAAACATATTATTGATGAAATTAGTTGAGATGTGTAGGTTTTATAAGCATAAAATGTTTACAACAGCTGATACGGGTGTAGTCAACCGGTGTAGATATGGACATGGACGGCGAGTATGAGGATGGAATAGATGGTGAAGAAGATGAGAGTGTGAACAGCGATTGCTTTGCCGTTGGTCTTCATGCTCCCAAACTCCACCTGCCTACCGTTTCCGGGTAACTGAAAAAGGAGGCCGGGCTGCAACAGGACGAAGAGTACCACTCCGATGAGTACGGGTCCCCAGTCAGCCATTTGAGATGTTGAGAGTGAAATTTGTGAAGCTTGGAAGGAGAGATTTGGATGCAGAACAAAGTGTGAGAGTGAGAGTGGGACCTGAATGAGAGAGCAGGAATTATGCCTCTTTGATAAAATTACTTTTCAAAATAAAATTTTATCTTTTTTATTAATTAAAAAAAATGTAATAGTAACTTACATTACATGTATGTTTTTTTGTTATAAATATTTAACAATTTCTTAAATTTTGATGAATAAATTTAAAATAAACCTGGTTGTCATTACTTAAAATAAACGCACGCTATATTGTTGATTGCATTATATAAGTAACTAACTTTAACTTATGATTAATCAAGCAAAAATAAAAAGAATATAGTTTAGGATTATTAATTTTGTCGTACATTTATTTATATACGTATTACAGTAACAACTAACAAATTATGAATTACCTACCTACCTACCTCCAAAAACAAGAGTACAAAGCATCTCATCAAATTATGTGTGTTTGAACAAAAAAAATATCATTATGCTTGCTTATTCAGTGTCTGTCAATAAGTTCACATACGTATCATATGGAATTATTAATAATTACGTAAACTTTAACCACATCAATCAAAACAATCTATGAAGAAAGTTTTTTTTTTTTTTTTTTTCTTAAAAAATAATGTAACAAAATTCTCTCTTTTCCAACCATATATTTATTCCCAACGAACCATTTTCTTATAGTTGATCCCCACCATATATCCTTCAAAATCCATGCCTCTTTCTTCCTTATCCTACTAGCAACGAACCCATAACCTAATTCTACTCCTTATGTTGTTCTTTGATTCAAGATGCATGATTGGGCGGCTCCGCTCATTTCTTCAACGTTGTGTGCGTTTTTAGCACCAGGGCCCATCATTCAGATGTCGGGGAAAGAGTCAGCAATCGGTTTTATGAATACCAAGACTAACATAATATCTCCATGTTACTTCATATGGTTTGCTCCTTATTTTGTTTCTCATTGTACTCAATATACATATATACTATCTTATTAAGCAAATTTAGTAAAGTCTTAAAATTATAAATGACCAAAATACCCTTATCTATACTACCTTTAAAGCAAATTCAAGAAAAGTTTTAAAAACAACCTTAATTGCATATCTTTCAAAATAAGATTTGACTCTTCCCAATGGCCCTTCCATCCTCCCAATATCATATTTGACTCTTCCCAATGTGCCTTTCATCCTCCCATGCATCCCAAGGCCCAAGAGGACTCCTTCATCTTCCCTATCTTTATCATTCCTATTAGATTTGCGATTCAAAGTCATATAATTTGGTTAGGTGACTAAACAAGCCAGTAATTGTGGTGTCACAAGTTCTTGAGTCGATGATCGAAAATCCTACCCCAACTCGAGCTGAAGTATGATTTCAGACGAAATTTTCATTTAGTTACACTCAAAAGATTTGAATAGATCTTAAAGTTGACACACTTTCATTTGTAAAAAGGGTAGCAGGTGTTTCTGAGGCCGTTCGACAATGTTCTGATGCTCTGATGCTATCCGGTGAATCAGCAATGGGATCGTATGGTCTAAAGGCTATATCCGTGCTACGAATGGCTAGCACCCGAATGGAACTATGGAGCCATGAGGTGAACCGAGTTCAAAAGTTTCTTCCTCCACTTGGAGTGTCGTTGCTAGATCAAATAGCCGAACAAATCTGCAACTGTGCTGGCCAAATGGGTACTTTCAGTTTCTTGATTCATTATCTTTTCAATTATCAATGTGAAAATATGTAGAACCCTATTACATTACTATCTAAACCTCTAACACCATGTGAGAATACGTGGAATTCTATTAGATTACTCTTTAAAAAAACCCTTGAGGAGTGAACGGGGTTTCATTATATGCAGAAGGAAAATGGTTCAAGTCAAACCGATACAGGACTCCAACACACCCCGTCCAACAGAGACTAGACGGAATCAACCTCTGTTTCATGTGTGCAGCAAACCGAGTCCTAAAATGGTAAACTTTGACTCTGACTAGAATCAACCTCTGTTTCATGTGTGCAGCAAACAAGCTTGAAGTGGATGCTTTTTTTATGTACACAAAACACGGAGAAATGGCATCACTTTTATCTCGCAACCGACCAAACCCTCCGATATTTGCATTCACAAATGAAAACAGCACAAGAATGGCGTTGAATTTGCAATGGGGAGTTGTCCCGATCGCGTTTGACTTATCGGATGATATGGGTGCTAATATTTCTAGAACCACTGATCTAATGAAAGCAAAAGGGATGGTGAATGTCGGAGACGCTATTCTGGTTGTTTCCGACGTGATTCTAGCGTGTGTGACCCCGGCCGTTTATCAATCGCTCAAAGTTATCGTCATCGAATGATGGTTTTCGATCTTCAAGTTCATATTTTCCGTCAAGTTCTTGATTAGTGAGATTGATGATTGAATTGTCCGTTAATTAACAAAGGTGATTATTTGTATCTAACTCCTATCAGAAATTTGTTGAGGATATATTTGGTGCGTTAAAGTTTATTTAGTTAATTGGTATGTATTTTAGAAAATTAATGTTAACTTTTCTTTGTTCAAATATGTGGATTTGGAACCAGTCACTCATAGTTGTTTTCAGTGGAAGGATTTGAATTTGAAATTTATTAAAATATAAATTAGTTCGTTATTGAACTTAAATTAAATTATAATTAAAAATTGAATTAAAAAATTACACAAAAAATGATGAATTTTAAATAGTTAATTCAAAAATAAAAACATCATCGTTTTTTTCAAAATCACATACGACCATATTATAACAATAATTGAGATAAAGAATAAATGAAATATTAAGATCAAGATGTATCTCGCTGTATTACACGAGTATAAAGATATTAAAAAGACATAACATGCTGCATTATTTGCCATAAAAAAATAATCTACTTAATTAAAACTTAATCTTGTTGGCAAGGCAATGAAGGATGCTTATTAATTTAATTAATAATCTATATAATATAATACGTATTTTTAATTACTCTAATCAAGGTGTAGCCACATTTTCCTTGGCTTGAGGAGCAATCTCTGGATTTTCAAAGTAGTATGCTATGTTATATAATAAGATGTCCCATGTTTACATCTTGCCGTATTGTGTGAGAAGATGTCCCATTCTTTAAAAATGTACAAATATAAGAAATAAGAATTATTAGTATGCTATGTTATATAATAAGCGGAAGTTATTAAACTTGTGCAATACTGATCACTCTTAAGATAAGTCACATTCTGCTTTATATTGAGATCGATAGATAGTTCTATAATTCGACATCTCATGCATAACTAAATTATAATCAATCGGTTGCCAAATTTCAACATCAAATAGATTATTGGGTGGTCTCAGTTCTTCTCAAATCAATTGAATATGAAACAGGGCTGACAATTTCAAATACAAATTTTTATCCGTAATCGATATGTCTGCTTACATCTTTTCAAAATTTCACATCCCGTCGCATTGCGCGGGTATACAACTAGTATATGCTTAAAACATCATCCATCATCTTTTTCCTTCTATATAAATAGCATCCTTCATTCAGATCTGTAATTTGCAAGTTTGGGATGAAATCATAGTGTTTGTATAATGCTAACATTTAATCCATTTTTATTTGGTTTATGTTTAAAGAATCAAAACTTGGCAACTTTCAAGTCTTTGGTCAACTTTATAGTGAAAGAAAATATTGTTTTTTTAGTGCGAGAATCAGGAAGAGATCGGTACCAAGGCATAAATGACCCAATTCAGATGAGGTCCTACACAACAATAACCACATTTTTGAAGCTTGTCACAAAATATCCACCCAGTTTTTTTCATTAGAATGACCCAACACAAAAACAAGAAGCCAGAGAAAGGCAAAACCAAGCAATCCAACAAAAAAGAACCACAACATTAATTCTTATATGAATAAAATTGTCTGTTTGTATAGATGAGAAAGATTATTACTTGGAGGGTTTTTCCATACATAGAATGAGCGTATTTTTTTAATTGGGAGGGGAAACTTTGATTTTTTTTTTCCTACATAAAACTCCCCCTAGAAACCTATATTATTAAGTTACTACCAAAAAGTCATATATAGTTGACCGAATAAGCTATGAGTCTCATTAAGCTACTAACAAATGTGAATCACAAATCATTTTGTAGTGACAGCTAGATTTCACATATACTAAATGATTGAGTGCTACATTCCATAAAAAAGTAGACATTTGATCAGCATATGAAATTGATGTATATGAATCCTATTATGTAGACAAGATTTCCCTCTTATATTGAAGATGATAGATTTCCTAACAATTCTAGATCACTCCTTTTATGCATGCATTACATTCTCAAGGTATAGATTTGACCATAAAGGGTTACTTTAGCAACGCACCACAACATTTACACAGGTCATCTCACCACTCCACTACATAGAAAACTCTGTGTGCATATATGTGTAATGATATCGGTCCCGCGCATTTTTGGACCTTGGTTCTGGGTCTTCACTCTTCAAGTCATGTTTTAGTGTTAGGGGAAGAGGGAGACAGGGTGCTGCACGCCCACTTAATTCAAGAAAATTTAAGACGAAGATAACTTCCACCAATTGATACAGTGACAATTAAGGAAACAAAGCCAGTCGCAACACAAGAAGCAAGTATAACATGAAAACAGACAACTTTTCATGTTTTCAAAGAGGGAACAAAAGCCAAGCAGCACTAGAATGATTTATCATCCTAACAATAAAAAGTATATTAAAATTTGACAAGAAATTTTGACAAATGGATGTTCAAAATCTAACAAACACACTTGGGTTCAAGAATGACACCTTTTCTTATGCATAATTCAAGCGGAATATGTCGTTGTACACATAAAAGCTTCCTTGTGGTGTCGGCATCAAATGGAACATCTGCATCAAAACCAGTCAAAAAGCATAAGCAGCAGCATTCCCACAGCTCCAAGTTACTGTTTTCGATCACAAATATGTAAAAGGAAGTATATATGCTAAACTATCCTATATACGACCCTCTCTCTTTATCATCTTGAGATAAAACGATGAACAATGTACTGTTATTTATATAATTTGTTACTACTTAAAGCTTCTGGTATATAAATCTCACAATCTTTGAGAAAATATTATTTATGTTGGTTTTATGTAATTTGTGCAAGATTAAAACATTAGAACTCAAGTATAAATGTAAAATCATGATGCAAGGGAAACTTTACTCTGACTCTCTTTCCTCTTCATTTCACACTCCAATTTACAGAAGTATGTTATCTCATTAATCTGTTCCATTATCCTTTGAGCAATAACAGCACCCTTAACGTCATGAAGTTCCAACAAAACAGTGGAAACTCCAAATGCACAACTATTTGCACATTGGCACCAATCATAATATCATAACTAACTTCATATATATAGAACCTTTGTCGATGTAATGAAATTCTTTGGCCTTAAATCAGGGTATTCAGGAAGATTTGAAAAAGGAATTGATCGTGATTTCCTATAGAACATCTAGGAACAAGATGATTGAATTGGAAATATCGACAAATTTATTACTGGTTGGAAACATTGTAGAAACCAGTCACTTTTCAGGTCTCCAAACTCATCGTACTTCCTGATTTTGGAATAAGTTGTTTTTTAAAAGGCAAATAAGTTCTTTTTTATAAGCATGCAAATGAAGAGAATGAGTAATATCACATTATTGAGAATGTAAGCACACTAAACCCAAACCAAATAGACCCCGTATATCGCACCCGACGTTAGGGTCGGGCTTGGGGAGGAAGATATAAGTAGACATGGTTTCCGTCCCACAAGACAGGGAGGTTGTTCCCGAGAAGACCCCCAGCTTGCATACAAGAAAAAGAAACATATCTAGAAAGCACAATGATAGGTACTCCATGGCCGTTTTTCCATTCGTTTCTACCATACTCTCACATATGGATCTATCATGAACCTCCCTTCCCTCTTGTGTAATAATGAGACCCATGTTTCTTGTCTTTTCTTATAAGCGCAACAGTTTCCTCCCTGTATATTACCATCCATTATTACAAGCTCTCTAACCTTAACATATGCTGATGTGAATGTATATTTCATGATTGCATATATTCAGCCAGGGAAAAATGGAAGATACATATAAGTTACTACACACTAAATAAATCAGGTATCGTATCTCAAGCATACGAGCGGCAGAAACTATCTCTGAGGTCATCATTTGCCTCAACTATAATTGATTTTCTTAAATGCTACGAGTAGTTGGTGTTGAAGAAGGCCACATAACCTTTTACATGACAAAGAAGAATACGGTGGGGCTTTTTATATCAGGACGCCAGCAACTAGTATAATATGAAGTCGGTTCGGGGGCTTGTCCAATGACATGTATGGAGAATTCATAATATCAGTGACGAATAATATAAAGCAATACCTTGTAGAAGAAATATTGGCATGTAAACAAAATGCAATCAGAAAACAGAACCATGATAAATGTCTAAAAAGGCAAGACACTTGAACTGAAAATGAACATTGATGAGAAAATATGGACAAACATCTTTCCAGCAATGGAAAATCCTTCTCCTGACTCGGGCGGGGTGAGAAAGCAAAAGCTGTGAATGCTTTGCCAGAGGATGAATACTGTTCATCATGTGAGCAGCGAGGTTCAAAAGGGGAAGCTAGCTTATTCGTAAACAAATAGCAAATACTGAAAATCCTTTCGCAGCAAATAGGTTAGATGGATAAGGAACAAGAAGGATGCATGATTACATCTGTGTAGATGTTTTTCAAAAGAAGACATTTCAACAAACTAGCAGGGCACAGGAAGATGAAATGGGACCTGGGAAACCTCCCATACAACAAAGACATCATAGGAGGCCCTCAATCCTAATGTGTTAAACCAAATGTAGATATAGCAAGAAAGAAATGTAATTAGGTGCAGATGAAGAGATAGACAATCTAATCATTCGTTGTGAAAATGTAAATCGGAAGCAATTCCATTATTAAAAATGTAGTAATTAGAGGCATGCAACCAAAATTTATAGAAATTGAAATCTAAATGAGAGGAAATGAAAAATGAGATTGTGTTGAAAGAGATGAGATAGAGATAGAGATAGAGATAGAGATAGAAACCTGACTGAACTTAAGAGCGTGTTGTTCTCCGGCAAGCTGGAGGTTTCCGCTGACGAAAACAAGCATACCGCCAGCAGGACCAGAAGGCTGACAATCAACGGTGGTGATGGTGTGCTTACAGTGGTGGAAAGGGAGGGAGGTGAGCTTGGCAACAATGTTCTGAGAGCCTTGGATCTTCTGACCTTCAAAGGTGAGCATGGAAGTATCTTGATAGAGAGTGGCTAATCCAGGGCGATTGGAATCGAAGGTGGAGTAGTAATGCTCTACGAATGCCTTGGATAAAGCGTCTGGATCCATATCTTCTAAATTCTTCTTCTTCTTCTTCTTCTTGTTGCTTCCTTCCCTCTTTCGACCTCAACCTCAACCTAGCTGATAAAAGACGCCACAATGAACCGGGTTTCGTTGCTTGTCGCTGGGCCCTCTTTTTAATTGATGGTAGCCGTAGATGTATGAGTATGACTAGACTCGTTACAATTTACAATACAATATTGAGTTTATATATATATATATATATATATATATATTTTAAATTTCAAATATTTGATATACTTTAATGGCCCAACCATACCATGTATCACTATTTATTTTTCTTTTTTGTGTCCGTCGCACTGGATGTGGATCCTATCATTATTTTCTATTATATTTTTTAAATCAATCAAATAACGTTCCCACACAAAAATAAAACTTTATAATTATATATATAAAGGTGTTTTAGTTACACACTCAATCGTTACCGTACAAATCAATTAATTGAGTCACTTATTGAAATAATACGAGTTCATTTATTATAATCTAGATATTTACAAAATATTATCAAATTTCATTTTTTATAATAACGCTTTATATTACACAACAAATCAGATATTCATTGATTTAAATATTCATTAAACTACGATAAGGATTGAAATTGGTTTATATTAATGGTTGGATTTATGAATGAAACCATCTATTTATATATATATATTAAGCCACAATGGCATATCAAGATATCAGATAGAGTTGGGGTTGAGTGCGTAATTTGTGTGATTCATATACAAACTCGTGTAATTAGTTAAATAGTTTATATGTAAATCAGTTAATTAATTCATATGTGAAACAAATAATTAATCACATGGGCTCATATGTGAATCACACGGATTCACATATGCACGGATAGTTTATATGTATGCACTTGTTTATCGTCTATCTGTAAAAGTTATAAAACTGCCCTCTATCTTTTACATACCATGCGACCGAATTATTCAGTGTTTCATAGTCAAAGCCGCAAATGTTGACAAGATGAAGAGTTAGCGTCACTACTCAACTTCTCACACATTCAACACTTAAATGAACCTCTCTACACACACACACACACACACATATATATATATATATATATATATGTATGTATGTATGTATGTATGTATGTATGTGTGTGGAATGATTCAAACGAGAACCCATGTAATTTGCGAAAACGTAAGAACAAATATAAGTCAAGTATTGTATATTAAATCATATTTTAATAGGATTCGAGGGAGTTTTAAAATTTGAATGAATGTTAATTTTTTTCAAAAATAATAAAGACGTGGAAGGGTAAAATTGAAAATAGGAATACAAAATAAAATAACACGATCAGATTGTTTCGATTATTGTAGAACTGATAATTATGTAATCGTCGACAAAGAAGAGGAAGACGATTTCCAAGAGGTATGTGTTATGTATCACATCTTCATCACATATACAACATGTATTGATGGTTCACTTCAATATCGCACGATTATCACAGTGTGAGTGTCACACGATTAGGGCAAAATCAAGAAGTCATTACTCTGCTTGGACATCACAAATTTATCACAGTGTAATAATTGTAAGAAGAAATCGAGGAATTAGACTCTGAATCAATAATATACGATGATTTCCTTTCTTTATCACAAGATTATAACAATGTAAATGTCACATGCTTAGGTAAAATTCAAGAAGTCGTTACCCTTTTCGGGAATCACAAATTTATCACAGTGTGATTATTGTAAGGAAAATTTGATAAATCATACCTTATCACACATTTATCACACGATTAGGGCAACTCGAGTGGTCAATACATTGAAACTATATCACACAATTATCACATTGGCTCGTGAGACTATTTTTGCAACAATGGGTGTATTGTACACTTGATTTTCTAAACCCAAAACTCGAAAACAGTTTTGACTCTTGGCAGTTGGCACTGTTTTTTTTTTTTTTTTTTTTTGCTATTGAGACTGCTTTTAACGATGATTTTGTTACTTATCACATGTTTATTACACCTTGATTATGGCTTGGTGATTGCCTATAATTGATTAGGAGTAACAATCGATGGCAGAATTTGAGTTGATAGAAACTTGTGTATGCATTAACCTTATGTAATCAAGTGCATCACACAATTACAAGTAAGATTCTTCACATTTGTCACTGTTCGATTAACATAATGAAAACTCGTTAAATCAACACTCTGAATGTGTATTCGATTATCATTTGATTAGGAAAATTCGAGTAGACATCAACCATATTGTGTATGTAGATACAAAAAATGATGGGGAGATCAGATTCCAATTTAAAATCAAGGAATAATTAGAATTAACTAAAACAACAAACAAAAATATCTAATCTAATTACATAACTACCCTTATTAATTTAGTTTTATCTACTATAATTTAAAGAAACCCACATCTATTCTTATATATTCGTAAAATAGAAGGGTTCTTGTATATACTCTCACCTTCCAACTAATAAAAACCAAAGAGACACGTGCTTTCTCACTATTTCCATTTTGTCTTTTTAAATTTGGGGCAGAGACATGGAGGAGGTGGCTGCCCTCACACTCATACCAATCCTTATATCAAAATACATCTTATAACTTAATTTTTTATATTCATAAACAAAAATAATATAATATTTATCTTAAAATTGACCAAAATAATCATTTATTTTCTTGATTTACCTAAATATGACCACTTTCACAAATGACACCTTCTCATTTGCGGACCTTGTTAAAAGACGAAAAAAATTCAAATTCAACCAAGCACGGACCTGAGTTGAATTTGATTTTTTGTGTGTGTTTTAACTAGGTCTGTAAACGGGAGAGATGTCACTTACAGGAATAATGATAAGTGGTTAATGAGGCAAATGAATGTAAAAAAAAAAAAACATAGTTGCTATGTTATAAAAAAACTTCTTAAATCTCTAAAAATGTCTACGTTGTTATGTTTCGAGGATGAATGACCTTAGCAACAAAAAACATATCTAAAAAATAATAATTTATTAATTAATATTAAAAACCATAAAAGAGATCTATAAATAAAAAATACACCATGTGACACATTTTGTCTCCATTGATATTTTTTAATTAAAAAAGAAGAAGCAAAAACTAAAGAGTTATCTCGAGAATTTATTTATATAACTTTATTTTCCAATTTAAATTCCTTCAAAAACCTTATTTATCGTTTATATATATATATATATATATATATAAATAAAATGGAGGTTCAAACGAGAACACCTTCATTTTATGAGAACGCGAAAACACTTTTATCACATGTGATAATACGCGTGAGGGAACCTTGTGATGTGCAGACGACATGTTACACGACTTAGGCCACACCAAAAGTTGTCTGTATCTATGATTAAGCATCACATGCGACGGTCTTAATGGATTATAGTATTATATCAACAGCACCCTTATCACATGTGATGATACTTGTGAGGGGGCTTAGTAGTGTAAGAGCGATTTGGCCCGCAACCAAGATCGCATCAAAAATCGTCCGCATCTTTGATTTAGTATCACATGTGTATCATATGTGATGGAATAACAGTATCACATCTGATTGTTTATAGTAAAAGGATGTTCTTGCGTTCTCGTTTAAACCCTTCCCTATATATTATATTATTTATTATTTTATATAATCTTATGTTAAAAAATTGAATGAGAAAGGTACATGACAGCCGATGAACTTAAAAAAACGTGAATGTTTGATTCAAAATGTCAATAGAGGCGGATATAGAAATATTCAAAATAATAAAATATAATATAAAAGCTTTTGGATTATGCAACATCAAACTGTTTTTTATATAAGCAATGTAAGTTTTACAGTGTCTTTCTTGTGAATGTTCGGTCTTTTTCGTACACTTACAATATTTGGATGTGGAATTCCAGTATTATTTTGTTGTCTCAACCCTACAATAAATTGGGTTTATAGGATACCTACATTAAATAAACGTTATAATGAGTTGTTTTATAATACTTAATTTATATGACCAAAATATAAAGTGTTCTATCTAAAAGCATTGTAATAAGTTTATAAGATGTTTCTGGGCGTCTTAACAAGTTATTTATGACACTTTTAATACAAAGCGTCACATTAGTTATTTTATAGAACACTTATGTTTATTGGACATCTTTTCAAATACGATCATACAAAATAACTAAAATGACGTTTTTTATAATTGTCTTTTGATATGAGACTTTATTTTTTGGTTCTATAAATTATGTCTTATAAAGTGATCTATTAAGACACTTATTTATTGGTGGCATCTTATAAATCCAATTTTCTTGCGGTGCATGCGTCTAATGAAAAGAGATTGGTATTACATGAACACAACCCTAGTATAAAATTAATTTTAAAAAATATAGTTTCATTAAAAATGATAAATAAATGTAACATAAAAGTATGATTTAATAATGTTTTGTTCGTGTGTATCTAACAAGACCAGGATAAACACTTGGATCGAATAAGGAATGTATTTTGAAAGTAGAATTCCTATCCTATTATAACATTGGGATGATGCAAGTCCAAACTTTGGTTTAGGCAACAAAAAGAAGAAAGAACAGAACACATATATATATTATTATGTCCGTCTTTAGAAAACAAGATTAGAAAATATATGTTAAAGGTACAAACGTGTACCATAATAGTTATAAACATGTACTAATTATAATTGATGGATACTGTCTCATTTATCACATAGACGACGAGACGTTGATGCTAGGTATTGAGGTCATCATTAAAGACCTACAAGGGAAGGGGCCACGACACGACCATGGTGAGCCAGAGCCATACTTCAAGTTGGCTTATATTAATAATTAATAAATAAAAGTAACGCATTTGAAATCAATTTATTAAATTTTTGATTCTATTATGTGTTCATGATGATCACCTCAACACCCTTAGAAAACGACTCACGTGTCCTGCACATGACTTTCTAATGAAGCAACTTTAATTGGACTAAAAACAAGACAGCAACATTCATTGCTTTCAGACATTTTAAATGCAAATTAAAATCATTGCAGTAAAAACAGTGAGAGACAAAATACATCTTTTACACTTTTTTATTTTATGTTACTTTTTCACCATTATATATATATATTAAATAAAACATTTTAGTTTTCACACCTATTCCTTATTCAAATTAACATGCTGTTTTTTTTTAACCATGTGTTTTCAGACCATCTTACAAATACCTTAAAATGATTCCAAACATTTTATGGAGAACAACCACAAAAATCTCTAGTGGCTTGAACCGTGACCTTGAAGAAGGATCCTCAAAGTATGTAAAAATTTGTTTGGAAAAATAAGCTAATAAAGGGAAGTTTAGTTGCACAAATAATTACCTTTGGTCCTTTTTACAACATTCAAGATGCATGTTACACCATTCATAGTAAATATCTTGTAAATGTTTTGGTCCAAAGCAAAACTTAAGGAGTTATTTACTAAATGCTTGCCGGATAATCATGGCAAAGACCGATAATGTTATTCGATAAGAGCGATGATTAGGACCAAGAGTCTTGCCTGTCTGATAAGTGAAGGTAACGAGTGTTATCTTGTTAACAAATAAATCATTGCATATGTTGTCATAGATAGAATGTTATTACTGATAAGACAAATGAGAGTGTTAACTTTTATCGATAAACGGTTAACAGATAAGAGAAGAGAAGAGTTTCTACTAAATCAAACATGCTATGCACAACTTTAGTATAAAATTGTTTAAAAGAAATACAAAAATCCTAGTCACTATTATTATAAAAGAAAGAGATATATATATATATATATATATATATAAAAGATGGATGGCGTATTATAACGACGATACTGCCAAACAAATAACTATTGTTTAAAAACTGGAAAAAGACAGGGTTGACAGCAAAGCAATCTCCATCCTGAATTCGCCACAAAAAAAGTCCGTTTTGGTCACAGAGACAGATCCCATATCAGAATAACTACACCAATTTACCTACCCACAACCCACAAATCCTTTTCTCTACCTTCTTCCATTTTCATTTTTCAGTAATGGTTCGGCTCAAAGAAGTGATCGTCACTTTTTTCAACAACAGATGGCTTGTTTTTGTGGCGGCAATGTGGATTCAGTCCTGCGCCGGCATCGGATACCTCTTCGGAAGTATATCGCCGGTGATTAAGAGCTCATTAAACTATAACCAGAAGCAGGTTGCCAGACTGGGTGTCGCCAAGGATCTAGGTGATTCTGTTGGGTTTTTGGCCGGAAGTTTGTCGGAGGTATTGCCGATGTGGGCTCTTCTGCTTCTTGGTGCTATTCAGAACTTTGTTGGTTATGGATGGGTCTGGCTCATCGTCACCGGAAAAGCTCCGATGTTGCCATTGTGGGTTGTAAGTATCATTTTTCCGATCTTATCTATTATTTAGTCAACGAAACGTGCGTCGATTGACATTTGATCTTAAACCCTTTCGTGCCACAAAAATTCCCTTTTGGTTTCTTATCAGTTATCAATACAGATAAATCTGGATTTCTGTGTTCTTATTCAAAAATTAGTCGATCATGAGTTCAATTAAACGAACATCTCTGGTATCCATCCAAGATGATTCTTTTTTGAAGTTAATTTTCATCGGATTCCGATTTGAAGTAATTTAGCTTTTGTTTTCTTCTGAAACTACTTTGAATCAGATTGAAAACATGCCAAGTTTCAATCTGTTAACTCTAACAAATTAGCTGTTTCGTAGCCATTATTTGGGGATCCTTGACACGAATGATGTGAATCTTGATCATTATAATGCCATTAAAATCCTCTGCTAACATACCATTGGAGTCCCATATCGGCTTTTAGGGTTGTTTGGTTGGTTTTACCTTAAATCCTTATTGAAGTTGTCTTTGTAGATTGGGAAAGTTTTTGTTTGGGAGGAGTTTTTAATAGATGGAAGGAATGCGTTTTTTTATTGGGAGAGGTAGAGGTTTGGAAGAAAAAAAACTTAGCTTTTTTCAAAAAGCTCCCCTTAGAAGATTACTGAACGAGCCACTTTATAGATTATTAAGCCACTACCAAACAATCATGTATAGCACCGAATAAGCTGCGAATCTCATTAAGCCTATTAAGTTGCTATCAAACAGACCCTTAGGTCCCGTTTTGTTTGCCGGATTGAATTGGATTTGGAATTGAATTCTATTCCAATCCCATGTTTGGTTTGAAAGATTTTTTGGATATGAAATCTCGGGATTTAATTGAAATCCCATAAAATTGGATTTTGTAATTCCACAAAGGGACTTGGTATTTCACGGGATATCGTAGGATTTGTATGTGATAAATAATGTTTTAAAATATGTTGAAAATATTTGTTTTGTAATAATCAATTAATAAAAATGTAATTTAATTATTCTTATAATTATCTATGATTTGTTTTTATATATTATTTATAAAGAATGGAATTCAATTCCATTCCAAATTCTACAAATCAAACACATCAAAGATTTCAAATCCCTCTAATTCCAAATTCTTTCACGAAATTCAAATCCCTCAAAATCATTTCATCAAACCAAACGCCCCTTAGACCTGTACCATTTCTCCTTGGTATATGTTGGAATCTTCATTCTCTATTCGACAGCTTTTTTGGAGAGTAATGTAGTGAGATTCCACATATTTTCATATGGTATCAAAGCCAAATTTTACCTCTCTAGCGACTCGACAGTCTAGGATTGTCTGTGCCGTTTAGCCTCCATTGGAGGAGCATGTTGAATTCCCACGTGCGCTAGACTTGGACCATTTCTCCTAGTATATGTTGGATCCTCCTTCTCTCTTCAAGCGATCTTTTAGAGAGTAATCTAATAGGGTTCTATATATATATATATATATATATATATATATATATATATATATATATACATAGGTATATACATATATCTCCTCGATATATGTTGGAACCTTTGTTCTCTACTCAATGGCTCTTACGTAGAGTAATGCAACAAAATTCCACATATTCTCCCATGGTATATGAGCCAAAGTCCGCCACTCTAAGGACTCAACACTCTGGGACTCAACACTCTGGGACTATTTGTGCCCATCTAGCCTCCATTGGAGGAGCATGTTGAAATCCCACATTAGCGGAACCTCCTTCTCTTCAAGGGCTCTTTTAGAGAGTAATCTAACGGGTTCCACATATTCTCACACTTGTCCCCATTCGAATTACTTTCATCATATTAAAGATGGATCAATCGCAAAAATTCTGTAAACTTATGAACTTTACGTTCTAAATCTTGCTATTGATATGCAGATGTGCCTTCTCATATTCATTGGAACTAATGGCGAAACCTACTTCAACACGGTAGCATTGGTTTCATGTGTTCAAAACTTTCCAAAAAATCGAGGTCCTGTTGTCGGAATACTAAAGGGATTTGCAGGTCTGAGCGGTGCAATATTGACACAAATATACGCATTAGTAAACTCACCCGATAATGCCTCCCTTATATTCATGGTTGCGGTGGGCCCTTTTATGGTCATTATCGCTCTTATGTTCATTGTGAGGCCAGTGGGAGGTCACAGACAACTCCGATTATCAGATGGTTCAAGTTTCACGCTAATCTACTGTGTGTGTCTCGTTTTGGCCGCTTATTTGATGGGGGTTATGCTTGTGGAAGATTTGGTTGATCTGAACCAGACCATAGTCCAAATTTTTACTGCCATTTTGTTTGTGCTTGTAGTGGTTCCAATTGGGATTCCTTTATGGTTAACTTTTTCTTCAGATCCACGAACCCCTGAAGAAGAATCTTTGCTATCCGAGCCACAAAATAAAGAACCCGAAAGACTATTAGAGCATGATCCAAATGAGATCATATTTAGTGAGGTGGAAGACGAGAAACCTAGGGAAGTAGACCTTCTTCCGGCTTCCGAAAGGCAAAAGAGGATCGCTCAGCTTCAATCAAAGTTGGCCCAAGCGGCTGCAGAAGGAGCGGTGAGGATCAAGAGACGAAGAGGGCCACATAGAGGTGAAGACTTTGATCTTACACAGGCTTTGATCAAGGCGGATTTTTGGCTCATCTTTATATCACTTCTATTGGGATCTGGTTCGGGTTTGACAGTGATCGACAATTTAGGTCAGATGAGCCAGTCTTTAGGATACGACAACACGCACATATTCGTTTCCATGATCAGCATTTGGAACTTTTTAGGCCGGGTTGGCGGAGGCTATTTCTCCGAGATCGTTGTCAGGTATATAACTTACCTACAAACATGACACTACAAGAAAAATGGTCTTAAAAGGACGCAAAATATGTTTAAATGTTCTAATAGACTGCTTTATAGATTTAAGTTTATAACAGTAAACAATTGTGCATCCTATATAAAAGTGTTACAATAAGACAATAAATTGATAGGAAATTTTTGAGATAAAAGTGTTCTATTAATTGTTTTATAGGAGGCTTTTGACAAGTTTCATATGAGCAAAACTTCTACAACTAACACAATTTTCAAATAATATCATATAAACAGATTAGTAGGACACTTTATTTCAAAAGTATACTGAAACACTTGTTCAGACATTAAAAAACGTCATGTCAACTTATTGTAACACCATTAAGTGACGCACCATTTTTTGGTTCTATAAAGTATAAACCAGTCTATTAGGACATTTAGGGGTTGTTTGGTTGGTTTTTCATTAAGTCATGTATAGATTAAGCTGTCTGTATATATTAGGAAGATTTTTTGTTTGGGAGGATTTTTTTTTATAATAGATGGAAGGAGCATGTTTTTTAATTGGGAGCGGCGGTTTGGAAAAAAACTTGGCTTTCTGCATAAAGCTCTTCATAAAAGCTTACTGAATAAGCCATTTTTTATATCATTAAGCCACTACCAAATAGTCATATATAGTTGACCGAATAAGTTGCGAGTCCCATTAGGCCCATTAAGTTGCTAGCAAACAGACCCTTAGACATATATGACATTCTAAAAAGCGGATTTTGTTTGTAGTGATACAAATGTGATCTTTTGAATCTTGATTGATATTGGATTTGCAGGGACTATGCTTACCCAAGGCCAGTAACCATGGCTGTTGCCCAAGCCATAATGGCAGTTGGGCATTTGTTCTTTGCCATGGGTTGGCCAGGTGCAATGTACATCGGCACCCTTTTGATCGGTCTAGGCTATGGGGCTCACTGGGCTATTGTACCGGCTACAGCCTCTGAGCTATTTGGGCTCAAGAAGTTTGGAGCTTTATACAATTTCCTCACCCTGGCTAACCCCGCTGGTTCGCTAGTCTTCTCGGGTCTCATTGCCAGCTATATATACGACTCTGAAGCAGAAAAACAAGCTCAACAACGCCATCAACTCGTTTCAAATTCCACTTCTCTTTTGACAAAGCTTTTTGACACCAATGATGATGTTCTCAAATGCGAAGGTTCGGTTTGCTTCTTTCTGACTTACATGATAATGTCGGGACTCTGTATCATAGCGGTTATCCTAAGTTTGATACTCGTTCGCCGAACTAAGGTCGTCTATCAGAACCTTTACGGGAAAACCCGATCCTAAATTCTTGGAATCCCAAGTATATTTCTTTGTTTTCCATAATTTAAATGTTTCATTTTGGAATCTTGAGCTGTGTTTGTATATTGTTATTCAAATTCCGAACATTGTTTTGGATTGAAATTTTTGATTTCCACTCAGTTGTATCGTAATGGTGGAATCTTTAGCACTTTGCTTATATGATATATATACATCATTTATTTACTCTTTGACACAAATCTTGACATGGACATTTGCTCAAGTTTAGTTTTATAGGATGTTAAATACGTCTAGATGTTGTTTTAACAGACTGTTTTATATGATTTAAGTTGTGTATGACCAAACACTTATGCGTCCTGTATAAAACTGTTACAATAAGTTGATGACATTTTTGGCCGTCCTAACAAGTTTTTTGGGATATCTTTTAAATAAAGTGTTCTATTAGCTAACTTTTTGTTAGAGTCCCACATTGGCTGGATTTGGACTATCTTTCTAGATATACATTGAAACCTTCATTTTGTCTCCAATTGCTATTTCAGAGAGTAATTTGATGGGGTTCCACATATTCTCACATGGTATCAGAACCAAAGTCTATCACTTTAGGGACTCGACACTCTTTGACAATTTGTGACCGTCTAGCCTCCATTGGCGGTATCTGTTAGAGTCACATATATATCGGCTAGACTTGGACTATTTCTCCTCGGTATATAATGGAAATTTACTTGGACTATTTCTCCTCGGTATATATTGGAAATTTCATTATCTCATCAAGCACTCTTATGAAGAGTAGGCAAAGGATCGTGTGAGAAAGGAACTTATGGTGATAAGTGTAAGAAGAGATCTGAACCCTTGATTATTTTTATCTCATTTCCACCCATGAATTACGATTTAGAAGAGAATTGATCAAGTGCACCTCATTAATGTTGACATTCAATTATGATTGATCAAAAGGTGGAGATCTCTTATTACGTTTCTCATCATAATTTCTCTTATCACCGGAACCCAACCTATAAAGAGTATTGTCACACTTGTTTTTATAACACCATATCTTTTTATAAAACATTTGTTTTTATAAGATGTCTTTTCGGTATAAACTATTAATAAGACATATTATTTAAAAGTGTTCTGTAATCAACTTATTATAACACATTTACATAAGACACATGTTTGTTTACACCCGTAAACTCGAGTCCTATGTATTTATACACATTTGGAATCGTATAAAACAAATTTTGTTGTAGTATAATAAGTTACGTTAATTAAAGGTTGTGCAGTCCCTCCTTATCTCGCCTTGGTTTCCCGTTTTGACACCCGTTTGCCCGAGCTTCCTCATCGCAGTTATAAAGGCGGAGTTAAAATCTTGTGGGTTGTTGGCGAAGTCATTGACCGTCGGTTGGGATGATGAGTCCGTGAAGAGAACTTGATCCGATGTAAACAAACCCTTGCCGGCTAGTAGGTTCCGGTAATAAACATTATCAAAGGTGGTCGGAGTTTCCGGATCCATATTTACGGCTATACTTAGGTCCACGTTTCGAGGGCATGCGTCCATCAATTCTTGAGCATAGGTTGGATCTAAAGATGGGTCAACCGCAGCGGCTGATGAAAACGAGTAGAGACGGTTAGCAAAGCGATTGCAGTGGGAGAATCCGAGCGTGTGGGCTCCGGAAAGCGCGATCATATCAATCTCCGTTAGGTTGTGTCGTGCAAACATGGAGTTAAGTTGATCGAGATTGAAGAACGGCTCCGGTAGGTTTCCGGCAACCCGTGACGCCTGTGAAATAAGCCCATCTCGCCTTCCTAATTCCACATCATACAAAGGTCCCCCGGCCTGCATAGAAAGATATATATATATATATATATATTCTTACCACAAGAAGGCCTCAAAAAGTCTGTAAGAATGTTACGCGTTTAAAAAGGTACAACCGCCGTTGTCAGTCTTACCAGGCTCACGACATCTCGGGTGGCGATGGTCAAAACGTCAGCACACGACACAACACCAGGGCAAACGGACTCAACCGCTTGCTTAGCTTTGATAATGGTATCAAACCCGTCACCAGCGAGCGACAAATTATCTTGTGCATCCTTTTCGGCATCTCCATTTGGCGATGCGATCATAATGGAAGCATCACAACCCTGCACGTCCACGAATCGAAAACACCTAAGAAACTTCATTGCAACAAAAAATCAGAACTTGGTAGACGTCACCTCAACGAAGCAGTCATGGAAAAAGAGACGAAGGGTGGCCGGAATGGTGGTGAAAGTCTGGCTGAACTTGGTGGTAACCGCCTGTTTTATGAGGGCTTCCGCCATTGGACAGGTGGAAGCATAGAAATTCTGAACCAGTTGACCTTTTCCTTTTCCGGTAAGAACCACCACCATGATGAAGCAGTAAAGCAAGCTCTTCCGGCATCCCACCGCCATGGATCTGTCAGTTTCTAAGAAGGTAAACAGAATGGCGAGGGGAAAACTGGAAATGATGGTGGAAAATTCAGCTTAGGGTTGTTAATGATAAGGTGTAGAGAGTTGACAAGGTTGAAGGGTCAGCTAAATACAGCAGTTGTAATATTATTAGCAGGGGTTTGTATCCCACCCCTTACGTCACTTTTTTTCACCCTCGTATACTCACCCTCTCATATTAAATAGAATTTTTTAAAAGGGTTGATAT